ACTACATATTACGGATTTTTTTCGATATTGAACAAAAATTTACCTAAATTATTAAGTTCTTTCACATTGTGAACTGATAACAAATGTATAAGTTTAAAAGTGGATGGATTTTGCCAATAATATTTCTTAATATATTATTTTCTTACAGCACTATACCTATTACATTCTAAAATAAAATGGTATTCATCTTCAACAAATTTGCTATTACACATAGTACATAATCTATTTTCTCTGTCTACATTTAATCTGCCTGTTTCTATATTGAGGTTATGGGCAGAGATACGATATTTACATATATAAGGTTTATATATTTGACTAGCAGTTCTATCTTAATAAAATTGCAATATATCTGTGTCATATATATATCTATAAAGTATACATTCAGATGAATTGTTAAAAAAAGCATTAACATCAGTATAATAAAGGTATCTTTCATTCTTTGTTTTAACTCATGTATAAATATATCAACATTATTTACGCTTTGTTTTAGCCATACATCATGAAAACCATATCTACATAAAATCTCTCTGACTGAACATGCCCAATTCAATTTGTCTTTGGGTTTTTTAAATGAACTCTCCAACATATCTTCATAAGTTAACAGAATACAGTCATCAGTATTTAATAATTTGAACCAAAACTGAATCACTCTTCTGTGTCTTTCATAATACATTGGGTAACGTCCCAATTCACAGAAAACGATGTTATTAACAGCAGTTTTTCGAACCTTTATAATTCGTTTTTCAAAATAAAAATGTACTTTGTCTATATCATTAGCTTTATGATTTCTCCACATTTCACAGTTATAATTAAGAATACTAGATACATAAGTATCAAATGAGGACAGTAACGTTTCACAGTTAAAAAAATCATCCTCAATTTTACTACATAAAGAAAAACAGCCTTTCTACCTTGATTGGCTAACATTTTTTTTGTGCATGTAAAAAGCTATCATTATAATTAATAAGGATACCTAAATATACAAAATTGTCACATATATCAAGTTGGTTGTTATTTAAAAACCATTTTTCTTGACTTTTTACACTACCTCTATTTTTAAACACGACTACTTTAGTTTTAGACATATTAATATATAAACCATATTCCTTTGAAGAATAGTTTACAGCATTTATCATATTTTGCAAATCATCTATGTTCTCGCTAAATAAAACAGTGTCGTCTGCGTACATAAGTAAAAATAAATATACAATATATGTACATAGTCGGAAAATATAAAATTTATTTGTATGAGCTTTAGAAATAGGACGAAAAGCGAGGCTCGCCGAGCTTTTCTCCTGTTTCGCAGCGAGTACAAATAAATTTTATATTTTCCGACAATGTACATATATTGTTTTTATCCTGAAATTTACACCCAACACTTGAAACTTTAGTTGTTAAAATCTAAATTATTATCTCTAAAAGAAAATCGACATAGTTTAAACGCAGACCACGAAGGGGACCCCACAATGAACTGGTACACAAAAAGAAATATCCACATTACCGCTTGCTCAACATGGAAGAGGGGTAACAGGAGACTGTATTTGTAGAGGTACAAATAAAGCAAAAATTTATTTGTGTACCTGTTATTTGTGCAATAGTTGGCTGATTGCAGGATATATTTAAAGATTTCAATTCATATGACTGACAGCCATTACTAATTAGCTCTACTTCCATATCATTAACATACAACGAGTATAATAATGAAGATGAAGTTTCCCCTTGCATCAAGCCAGTATTACATTAAAAACAATCTGAAAATTTTTCCATTACACTTCATACAAGTTTTCAATTTTAAATACATAGATTTAATTACAGTTAGAAGTTTACCAGTAACTCCACATCTAACCACTCTAAACCACAACTTTACATGAAAAAACACTATCAAAGGCTTTAATATAATCGATGAAACAGCAATATAAGCGTTGGCCCTTTCTTAATGACTTAGAAATCAAAGAATGAAGATATATTGGAAATTAAAATGTATATTAGGGTTACACAATTTCCACATGAAACAATAGAATATGTATGGAATTGTTAAACAGTATCGAAACAGTTCATGTGTATTTTGGGACTAGACGCCATATAACTAGCGACCGACATGACTTCTGACAACTTCCGATTGGCATGATCTAGCTGATTAGTATAACCAGGATTATCTTTGTTTATTTTGATTTCATAGATAAAAAATAATAAATAACGGAATTGCTGGCTTCAGTAGTATAACCTTTTAGATAACTGAACATGCTCACCACACGCGTACCTTATCGCCAACTAAGGTTATATCATAGGTAGTAAGCATCCGGATCTATTATAAAGGTCGAAATCAATCTTGTACGACGCTACTGTATCAGCGAGGTTTATATAATCGAAGCACTCTGACTGCTTACAAATAACTCATAATTATTCATATTCCTTTCTTGTACATGTTTGAAAACAATACAAAAATATAACTACAACAACCCCACCCCCCAAACATATAAATGTAAGCCACCTCGAGCATCGAAGAGACGTTTGTGTCGAAATGCTCTTCTGGTGCAGTAGAATTGGTACTGTTAATGTTATAAATACCACATGGTCGATACCTCTGCTCGTGGACTGTTAGTTCTCGAATGTATCACCAGCCTAGTAGCCAGAACTTTGGTACTGGTTTGAAAATAATGATATTGTGTTTACTTAGTAACATTTGCTGTTACATAATTTTAGAAATTATTTTAAACTAAGGAATATATCTCCCTCCTGCACAACTCTGATTCCTTGCCCGGCTTTGGCTATACTTTTTGTCGTCTTTTGCTTTATAAGCTATTCATTGTTTAATAAAGTTTTGAATTTTCAAATATTTTGGCCTCGAGCATCACTGTAGAGACATTTATTGTCGAAATGCGCATCTGGTGCAGTAAGATTGGAACCGTTAATGTTATTTTATTAGTTTATCTTTAATTTAATTTTTAAAAAAACTCCCAAAGGTGACTTGGGAATAGAACATTATGGTCACTTGGATCATCCGAGAGTAACATCCTTGTCAAAGGGGGCGCGTCCGTTTTGCTATTTGGAATGTATAAGTATGCAACCACTTCCGGCTATTATGTGAACGTTAAGTCCAATGCAGCGTGTAGAGAGAGTGCTACAATCTCTTTACGTTAAGAACCCTTGTACTTTTCATATGGCTTGAAGATGTAACTGGCAGTGGATTTCCAACATAGAGTGAAAATATTGAAATGCATCAGCCAAGTTATTGGGAATATGTGACAAAAGGGAATATAAACGACAACAGTTACTGTACAAGGCATGCATATCATTGTATATGTTCACAGACCTATATATATATATTGGAAAACCATATCAAACCGAACGCAGTCCTCGTGTAAATGTGAGATAAACTCTCAGTAAAAATAAATCGTGAAAATGAAAAGAATGAAATGCACAGGGGTGTACATTGTATTATTTTAATGCTGGCATTAGATTACAATAGAACGGGAAACATATCAAACAAAAGAATTCATCTTCTGAATGAGCGATCTTCTGATCATATCCAATCTTGCAGAAAGAACTAAATAAATTTAAATATGTTTCATAACATTTTGTTTATATGTAAACGGATTTTATCGAACGTATGGTACTTTCATTAGTACCTAGAATATCAAACTGTTCATGTAACGAAGGGAAACATATCTTTAATGGTATATGTTAAGACCATGAGAATATATCTTGAACTCTATTGCATGATTTATGTTATTTTCTTCAAATTTGAAAAGATGTGGTTGGATGGAGAGTTGTCTCATTGGCACTCATACCACATCTTCCTATACCTATTTGATATAAACTTTCGTAATCATCTGATAAAAACTCACCCTTTTTTAATGTAACTATTATCTCCGCTATTTCACAGAGTCTGACAAGTATATTCAAGCAGTATTTTTAAATCGTCTTTTGTCAGAAACAATGATTTTCTCTCTTCATTTGACAGAAATATAAAAAAAAACGTGTTTGGCATTTTATAAAGTGGAAGGAGCTAATTATCTACCTTATCTCACGCTAACGTCAATGGAAACCATAAGTATTGCACTTTTCCTTCCAATAATTGCAAAAACAACTTTTTCCGGTTTACTCAAAGTCACTTACCTCCGTTTGATTTTTTTCACATTGTCTTCTGATTGCCATCATTATACAATAAGTACCAAAGACTTTTTAATGTTTAAGTTATGAGTAATAATCAGAAATTTTTGACATTGAAAAATAAATAGAACATAATGAAAAGGTCGCTCCACAGAAAAAATCAAAAAACCTAAAAAGAAAAAAAAAAGTCAAGAAATTGATCTAGGAGTACTCGCAGTTATTACATGAATATGACATAACCAACTGAGACTTATAATCGAATGTGTGCCATTACTCTTCAGGAGCACCTAAGATCACCACCGGCTTTTGTTTTGGTTCGTGTTGCTCAGTCTTCAGTTTTGAATGTTGTGTTTTGTAGACTCTTGTTTGTTTTTCTTGATAGTTTGTCTTCGACTAAATTAATGGGTAATGATATACATTGAATCAAGTTGTTCCTTTCGGAATACTTTTACTTTTGGCTATGAAGGGTGTTCATTGATCCTTAGTTGTTAACATCCCTGTGCTTTTTTTTAATGAGGGATAATCTTTTTTTAATGAGGGATAGCCTTTTTTTTAATGAGGGATAGTCTTTTTATAAATGTCAATGATTGTATGGGTTTCCAGTTCCAAACTAAGACAAAGGAAACAAATAAGTCTAAGAATTGTCCTTTTGAATCTTTCTTTTCAGATAAATATATTTATTGACAAATGACATAGTTGTATTTGTTTCTATCTTTGGGGTCATTTGGAATTATCTACAGAATTGTGTTTGTATCTTTGGAGTCATTTGGAATTATCTACAAAATTGTGTTTTTTACTTGTTGGACATTTTGATATATTTTGATATATTTAAGAACGAGGAAACACAAAATTAATCGAAATCTATAGAGACGAATAAGAAGCAACGATACAGGTATATATGCAAATTTAAAAAAAACTATATAAACAGATTCATTAACAGCAGACTACCATTAGAGACATCTTAGAGAGAAATACCATAATACTGGCATTATTACATAAAATACACTGTTACTGTGAAAGTGTAATTTAAAATCAAGATGCTGCACATAAAAAAAGTTGTTTCACAATTGATTATTTTACTTTATAGAATCAAAGTATGAATTCTGACACATCAGTTTATTCTTATGCCTATACATACTTATGTAAAACAGAAATGATTTTAAACTGATTTGTTGAAGTTTGTAAATATCATGGCGTCGCTTTTATTCTTGCATCTGGGTATTTGTAGCAATCACGTGGTTCATAATGGTGAAAATGTCATTAAATAAAGTTTTCCTACACATATGCCATCATCTGTATACACTGTTTGGGTATTAGACCAATTCGTCCATTTTTCACAATCTGAACACTATTTCCTGGCATTTCACGAACAATTTCTACCACTTCACCTACTTGTACATTGTGTTCTGATGGGCTCTATTAAAAGTAATATATTTTAATTGAACATTCTTGAAAGAAATACAATATCAGTCACAACTTGTTAACCTATACTGAATCCTTGGTTAGGAAATGTTCATGTTGTGTATTTGTAGCTGTATAGTAGTACATGCTTGGATCACTATAAGTGATAATTGTTTCCGATTTGCGCAAGCTTTAATTTTCATTTTGTTGTTATTGTATTTGTATACATCTATTTTTCAATTCTTGGAAATTGTTTGTATGTGACATGGTCTCTTTTTTAGTTCCCTTCCACGTTTTGATGTCCGTCACCATCTGAATTTATCGCATTCTCTAGAATATGTCCAAGACAGGATATCAGTTGCACTTGAACATTTAAATACACTACCTTGATTTTAAACTCTTATTATTGATAATTATTACAGATGACGTATGTTGCAAGACTTCATCTTTTTATATTTATACCTTATTTTGTATAATTAAATGCAAAATTACATTATAGATTTTTTAAAAGTAAAATATATGAAACAAACGCATTCATTAATAATTTCAAGAATATGTATAAAGATATGTTTCGTTCTTAGAGTTCCTCAAATTGTCTCTCTTGTTGTACGTTCGTGTTATCACTGAGAATTATAATTTTTTTTTTCTTCAAATTTCTATCCAATGTGTTTTAGCATGTTTGAATATATGAATTTCATAATTGCTATATTCGAAACAGCACATGCTTACTTTTGTCAAATCAATTTTGTTTTAAGGATGTTCGGTGCTCTGTTTTCAATTTGAGAGTTTCACAATTGTGATATTCGAAACAGGACATGTTAGTGTTAATTAGAAACTCTAATCTTGATTTTTATTTTTAACTCTACATTTCTGTTTACTTGTCTTGTCGAATAACATGAGTTTCTTGAATAAAATTCTTCAAGTACTCTCGAAAGTAAAATTTAACAAGTCTTAAAGGTTTTGTTTTAAAAAGCACCAAAATAACAGGACATGCATTGTTAAAACCGGTTCTAGGAGCCGTCTTACACTTGCAGTGAGGTGAGAGGTTTTGTTAGGCTCCGTGTTGAAGGCCTCACTGTGACTTTGTGATGAAGAACAGCAATAAAAGCGCTATTCCTTTGCCTTTTGTATGTTTTTTTTGTTGTGCATTTACTGATTTTGTATCATGGATGGATACCTCATATCCTTTGTTTTTCTATTGTTAGTGTAGCATTGTTGTATATCAAGATTACCTAGCATGCTGTCATATCTATGATAATATCTGTTTAAAATATTTGTTTATGCAGCCTCTCTTCTTTTTTGTAATGACCTAATCACTGAGTGTCATGTATGTATTGACCTAATGACTTAGTGTCATGTCTGTAATGAACTAATAACTTATTGTCAAGTCTGTAATTATGTTACCTACCTTCGATGTGTAAGGTCGTTGTATTCGAACCTGTGCTCGTTCAGGCATGACGTCATGTACATCAGAGTACCCAGACTCTGTGGTGTTAGAACCTGGAAGTTAATAGTATATTTGATATGTCCAACATCGTATATGATAATGAAGAAAGCCTCAGTGATTAGTAAAATGATGGACTGTCAATATTTGTGATTGGAACAGTAGACTTTATAATTTCAGCCTCTGTGATATAAGCAGTGTGATGTTAGCTTCTATGATTGAGAAGTTACACCGGGTTGCAGCTACTGAGTTTGGTAATTCAGACCATGTACTAAGCATCTGTGAATATGAAGTTAGACCCTGAAATATTAACCTCAAATGTTTCCTGTCTGGATTTAACCCCACAACCATTTAGCTTAATTCGTATGAGTTAGACTTCATAAAGGAGCAACTAGAGATAAATGCATACAAACTATACCGTCATCATTACATTTACTTTCCACTATAATAGATGACAACTTTTCACTGAATAATCCAAAGTTTAGTGACCATATAAAACTACGAAGATATTGTATAATTGTCAATGAGACAACTCTCCATCTAAGACCACACGACGTACAAGTTGACGAATATAGGTCACCGTAAACCTTAAACAATGAGCAAAACCCATACCTCAAAATGAACTTTAAAAGGCTTCGAAATAACAAACGTAAAACAATTCAGTTGAGAAAACTAACCGCCTGATTTATGTACAAAAACGAAAACGAAAAATAAACATGATACAACAATAATTACCAAATGTTTTCAGCATTTATTACATTGTAGAGTATAATATCTTGGCATATACTTTGACATGGCAGTGTGTGAAATATGAGAGGTAAGCTTTAGAGGGAGACAATCTAATTCTGTAAGGATGGTTGGCAAACTTGATGAGTTCGGAATATTTATTTGCAACTTAAATGTGGCGAGATTATTTATTTTCGCTCAGACTAAAACCAAAATATTTATTTTCTGCTTAACAGAGAGATATTTTGAACATTTTGTGGCCAGAATATTTATTTTCATGTGTTATAAGGCAACCTTATATATTTGGAACTTAATGGAGGCCAGAATATTTAAGACCAGACCAGTGATGTAAATGCAATGAGCTTATTTAATACTACTTAAAGACACCAGCGTAGTCATGGGCAAACACATTACCATCGGCCTAATGTAAAAAAGTCTTCCAAATCTAGATCGCACTCTGCTAGTTTTGATGAACTTCTTTCACACCTTCATCATCCGCTAGGGTTGCATTACATTAGAACTATTCTTTTTTCGCTGCCTGTTTGTTTTCTAAAATGTTTGAGAGATTATGCACTTGACAAAGGATGCATAAATACATTTTCTTCAATATACAGACTGGTCAGTATAATTTGTGATGTAGTTATTTTCCGTCTTTTTAAACCAGTAAGATCGGAACCTTTACATAATGAAAAGAGGAAATTCCTTCCTTTTCTGTTTACCAATAAAGGAATTGATGCAATCAACATCAGCAACGTTCTACATCACAAGGAGGTAACATCTAAAAATCCACTTTATTTTCAAAATCAGTCTGTTCCTTATTGTATCCTACAGTTTCACCAAAACAATTGCACCTAAAGTATTTGACTATAAACAAACATTGCAGGACTTTGATTTAGAACAATAACTAAAAAATCTTTTGACATGTGACTGTTCCCACTCGCCTTATATTAACAGCCCCTCTGGCCATGTTATTACTGGTGATCTAAACATAATTCAACATGAACATCTCCGAAAGGTGATCTTTCATGGTCTTAAGTTTAAAGAACCGCAACTCTTCAATTGGAACCATAATTATGGATTCCATTGAGGACTATGCCAGAGCATGGGCTAAACGAGTAAAAGTTGTACTGGACACTTTGTCAGAATGGGTCAAAACAATATGGTCTCTGATAAGACGTCCAATTCATAAGTTGAAAAACTGCGTGAATGATCGACTAAAGTCCGTTTTCAAAGACAAAGAAGCTGTGAAATCATCTCTTCACGATAAGTATGATGTTGTTCCTGCGGACAAAGCTTCAAATAATATTGTCTTTGTATGTAATCGTACTACTACGAGTGTCTTGTAAAAGAATTAGGAATAAATGAGCACTCAGGTAATCCCACATACAAAAACATCATTTGAGAAGGATGAGATTTTGTCGAATCATAAGTCCTTCGTGGCTTCAATGAACATTACATTGAACAGCAAATCGGAGACTTACCTTGTTTGTATTGGATACCTAAGCTTCACAACATTCCGTACAAACAACGGTACATTGCCGGCTCATCTGCATGTTCGACGAAGGAATTGTCCATGCCTGTACCAAGTCAGGAATATGACAGTTGTTATCCATTCGTTTGATGTGTTTGAGCTTTTGATTTTGCCATTTGATTAGGGACTTTCCGTTTTGAACTTTCAGAGTTCGGTATTTTTGTGATTTTACTTTTAGATTGACAAAAATTCTGTCCGCAGCGAAAGAGGGTCTTCAGAAATACTGTGAAACTGTTAACTCGCGAAGTGGTATTAACCATATGTGAATTCTAAAAAACTCTAAAGAACTTCTTGATAATTTTAAATCTCGATCTTTCTCTGAAATCAATTCTATTACAACTTTTGATTTTTCAACCCTGTATACCAACATTCACCATGTGAAATTGACAAATCGTCTAAAAGAAATAATCCACAATGCTTTTCAACATAAAAATGGTAGCATATGCTATAAATTTATTACCTTGGGATACCATACGGCATATTTTGTAAATAGTGCACAAAAAGGATGCCACACAGAGGAACAAGTGATCAGTATGCTGGAGTTTCTTATTGACAACGTATTTGTTGAATTTGGATGTAGACTTTTTCAACAAATTGTCGGCATTCCTACGGGAAAGAACTGTGCGACTTTCTTTGCCGGCCTCTTCTTATTTTCATATGAGTCGTAGTTCCTTCAGACACTTGTCAAAAACATGAAGATCAAAGAAGCCAGATCATTTAATTTCACATTCAGATATATTGATGATGTTCTTTCCATTAACAATCTAAACTTTTCTGGTTGGGTTCCATTAATATATACTTCAGAACTAGAAATTAAAGAAACAACAGACACAGCTTCCTCTGCCTCATTTTTAGACTTATAACTCGAATTTGACATAAGCGGTCATCTCAGTACCAGAATCTATGACAAACGAGACAACTTTAATTTGAAATTATCAATTGCGCCCACCTTACTAGCAATATACCAACTTCACCTGCATATGGGATATACATTGCAGTTGCCACTCAGACTTAGTAAAACATCATCAGTGTCTGAGCAGAAAGTTGATGAACCAGGGTTATGTCAAAGAACGTATCGTCCTTTTTCTAAAAAAATTCATCGGAAGATACCAAGACCTTGTTGATAAATATTCCGTATCAACTTCACAAATAATACACGATGGTCTTGAAGTATAGATTCTTGGTACTGACATTGTTCATCATCTTAATTACTTGTTATAGTGTTCTTTTATTTGTCTTTGTATATTATAATTTTACTGTTTAGTCTATTTTTGGTAATATCCATTTGACGTGGCTCGGTACTTATACATCCCGTCAATGTGTAATTATTGTGGTAAATTTTTGTATTCTTGTCTTTCGTTTTTGCTAATGTGCTTTGTCTATATGCCTTTTAGTTTTTCTTTGTTGACATATTTGTTTGTTTTTATAGTGATTAAGATTATAACACAATGTTGACTGCTGTACCCTTATTTTTGACATTTTTACCTATTATGTCTGTTTGTTTTGTTCACACATTATTTTCAACATGATGGAATTTTATGCAACTGTCATACATGTGAGAGGTTTAGCTAGCTAAAAACCAGGTTTAATCCACCATTTTCTACATAAGAAAATGCCTGTACCAAGTCATGAATATGACAGTTGTTATCCATTCGTTTGATGTGTTTGAGCTTTTGATTTTGCCATTTGATTAGGGTCTTTCCGTTTTGAATTTTCCTCGGAGTTCGGTATTTTTGTTATTTTACTTTTTATCCAATTTTGTCTGCCTCCATATGGTCACTCCAGTACTACAAAACTGATGATTTCAAATTTCCTATTTAAAATATTTCTTTTTTTATAACAATATTTCAGCAGCATCTGCATATAGGAAACGTATTCCCTGGCATTTAAATGTTTTGGCTTAGCCTTGTTGTTGTGTATCATTTCCAATTCAATCACTGGTCGATACCATTGCTGTTAGACTACTAGAACATACATGATTCATAAACATACCTTTCTTTTTAAATTTAAAACAATTTAAAGGGGTATTAGCTACGAGATATATAAACAAATAAGATAAGATTTTTTTGTTCAATCATTAATGAAAGTGAAATAGTGAAATAATAATTCGTTTTTAGAAACCAGTTTGGTTCAATTTTGTCAAAATAAGATAAGAAACATCGCTGATGAATTATTTACTTGCAACTGAATAATTCGACCTCATTGAATCCGTATTCATGTGAACTTCAATTTAACTCCTTAGCTAGAGATGGATTACGCATGAATTAGGCGTGTTCAATTATCAGAGGGGAAAGAATGTCCACATTGAAAGTGTAACACGGGTAAACCATTTGATTGACTGATTCGATCCACAAAAACTCATTTTTATACAGGTAAAACGATGATTTAACATATATATTTCACCTTTAATATGAAATCAAACAGACCTAGAAAAATCCAATTGCACGAGTTCGTTATCTATTTATATCTATATTTATGTTTATATCGGGTTATATGACCGTCGGCAGTCTTCGGAGATCACTACGATGGTTAATAGATGGCGTCTAGACTAAAATACACAAAATTTTGATACATATTATCGAGCCTATGCATTGTAAATTGTTTATTTTAGACTTTCTATAAATTTGATATACGTTTTAGTATGTATAAATCAAATATGAGAATTTGAGTCAAATCAGTAAACGTGAATTTGACAGCATTAAAACTCTCTCAGGTAAATATAACTCAAAGTTCTATATAAAAAAATCATAAGACAAGCAATTTTCATACCTGTTATCTTAAGTGAAAGAGTTATGTGTGGCATCACATCTTTGCTTTCAAATTAGTACGTTGGTGTTGTTTCATGACATAAATGTGTTATTGTGCTTAATCTTCTCTTACATTATGTTTTGATTTTACTTTATTATTATTACATACCAAGAACTTACCTCTGTTTGGTCTTACATCAGATATACTTGAATATCCACTAGACGCTGAAATTCAAAGTTATTAAATGATTTTAAGATAAAAAATTCATTCTTTTAAAATGATATTTCAAAACAAATTGTAAACATTATAACGATATGTTAGCATTGGTCTTGACTTCGCGTGCATGTCGGAATTTCGGATTCTCAATGCTCTTTAACTTCGTTCTTTATTTGGCTTTTTAATTTTTTTGAATCGGGCGTCACATATTGGACTTTAGTACACGAAACGCGCGTCTGGCGTAATCAATTTTAATCCTGCAGGTATATATGACGAGATTATCGGTATCTACATTGATTGCGCTATTAACAAATTAGAACGTAACTGCATATGAATTGCAACACAGCTATAGATACTTATCGCACCGCGTGTAAATTATCACGTTGTGATTGGTTTAACACCGTCACGTGGTGACCCCCTATGGATCCGTAGGGGGTAAGTAAATTTCATAGGGGTTCATGACGTCACGTCTACTGTTAATGGTGACGTCATCTATTAATGTTGTTGTGTTTCATTGTTTATTTTTCTACAAAACGCAGTAGAAAAAGTCCCGCCTGCGATAAATTCGTTATACGGTTCACAACTGACCCCCCTACGGACCATAGAGGGTTAATAAAATCTATAGGAGATTCGGCCTTCGGCCTCACCCCCTATGGATTTTACTAACCCTCTATGGATCCGTAGGGGGTCAGTAGCGAACCATATAACTTATATTATGGTTCTACATCCTGTTTATACATTGTATTTATATTTGGGCACTGCACAAGGTAATAAAATTGAGTATGGAAACGGGAAATGTGTCAAAGAGACAAAAACCCGTCCAAAAAGCAGACCACAGCCTAAGTCGCCAATGGGTATTCAGAACAGCGAGAAAATCCCGCACCCGAAAGCGGGTTTCAACTGTCCCCTAAACATAAAGGTGTACTAGAGAAAATGGACGTCATACTAAACTCCGAAACATATAAATGAACCAAAATAAAAAAAAAAAAACATACAAGACTAAAAAAGGCTAGAGGTTCCTGATTTGTGACAGGAAGAAAAATGCGGCGAGGTTAACATGTTTAGTGAGATCTCAACCCCCCACCCCCATACATCTAGACAATGTAGATTAAACAAACACACAGCAATACGCGCAGTAAAACTCAGTTTAAAAGAAGTCCGAGTCCAATGTTAGATAAGGTAACAGATGAAACTTAGCAAAATGACACTGATGAACATAAATTAACAAAGCATTTACTGACATGCCAGTTCCAGACCTCAATTAAACTGATTGAAAGATTATGTCTTCATCATATTAAAATCAAGCACAATCACCCAAAAGGGGGTTTAGTAAAATACCATCATAAAATATACGAAAAGAACATAACCCGTATCATGCCAATAACTGTGTTTATGTCTGACTCAAAGACCCTTTGAGTGAATCAATATTAATTAAAACAAATACCATCTTTAATGATTTGACAACGGTATCGTAACTGTGTCCCTTCTGAATAAGTCTGTGTAAAGGTTTGGCTAGCTTTTGAGGTCAATGACGACATTGTTGTGCTTTGTATAGAATACTACAATAAAAGATTGGATATGAAATACCTAAACGTATAAGATGTCTGCACATTGATTTATATTTACGAATGATGACCTTGTACCGATGATAAAATTTAGTAAATGTTTGTGATATCGAAAACCCTGGTGTAATATTTTTTTAGTTCTACAGAGACTTCTTTCGTTAAAATCAAATACATAGTTACATACACGAACGAATCGTACAAGTTGGGATATATAAACACCATAAGATGGTGCCAATAGAACGTCACCTTCAAAAAATGGATAATTAACAATAGGAAAATTAACATCATCTCTTTTATCTTAAATTTTAGTATTAAGCTTCCTGTTAGTGATACAGATATTAAGATCCAGGAAAGGACAGTGTTCATTGAGGGGCCTGATGGGGGGGGGGGGGGGGGGGGGTCTCATCACGATTCACGAGTTGATTTTTTGGTCAATCACGATTCACAGAAAATAAATTTCCATGATCACGGATCACGAAAATATAAAAAAAAAAAAAATCTGTAGAAAAACGGACCACGATAGCGAAAATGCGCCTATCACGAAGAACGAAAATAACCCATCAGGCCCCTCTTCATTGTTAGAATTAGCTTAATTCAAATATAAAATAGAAGATTTGGTATGATTGCCAATGAGACAACTCTCCACAAGAGACCAAATGACACAGTAATTAACAACTATAGGTCACCGTACGGCCTTGAACAATGAGCAAAGCCCATACCGCACAGTTAGCTATAAAAGGCCACGAAATGACAATGTAAAACAATTCAAACGAGAAAACTAACGGCCTAATTTATGTACAAAAAATGAACGAATAACAAATATGTAACACACAAACAAACGACAACCACTGAATAACAGGCTCCTGACTTGGGACAGACACATACATACAGAATGTGGCGGGGTTAAACATGTTAGCGGGATCCAAACCCTCCCCTTAACCTAAGACAGTGGTGTAAAAGTACAACATAAGAACGAACTATAAAAATCAGTTGAAAGAGGCTTAACTCATCAGATGGATAAAAATACAAATACTACAAATACAAGTGGACGTGGCCGGGTACTTGTACATCCAAACAACAAAAAGACACTAAGTACAGATCTGAGAGTACTCAGTTCAGCTTGATAAATCTCTTTAGTGTACATACTGAAGTCGTCATTATTGAGAGCCAATATATCATCCAAATATCTAAAAGTGTTATTAAATTTTATGTATCAGATGTTGTTTCGATGAGTCTTTGCTGATTTTACTCATAAATTGTAACTCGTAACAATACAGAAAAAGGTCCGCAATAAGTGGTAAACAGTTAGTCCTCATTGGATTTCCGATAACTTGACAATAGACGGAGTCTCCATAGCAAACAAAAATATTATTTAGTAAAAATTCAAGTGCAGTTATCGTATCAAAGCAGGTCCAATTGACATAATTCTCTTGTCTGTTGTTACTAAAAAATGACCGAAAACGGTTTGAACATATATATTCGCACTCCGACCTTTTCAATGCCAATTTAAACTGGTATGTGAATTTTTTCTTCATGAGATTATGAGGCAAAGTGGATTATAGGGTAGAAAAAATCAATACTTTGAACAGATTCAAAATCACCAATATGAGCATGCAATTTATCGAGTACTTCCAACGAGTTTTCAACACTGCAAAAGTAATTAATTCCACTATTTTCAAAGGCCTTATTTGAACAATTTATTACCAGGTTTTTGATTGTACCAAGTGTACTAGTAAGTAGAACAGACATGCAGTTAATAGTGGAACAATGGCTTGAAGACAAAATAAATCTATATTTGTAAAAGAGGGACGAAAGATACCAGAGGGACAGTCAAACTCATAGATCGAAAACAAACTGACAACTCCATGGCCAAAAATAAAAAGACAGACAAATAATAGTACAGATGACACAACATAGAAATCAAAAGACTAAGCAACACGTAAGGTGTTTTATGCAGCTTCGGTTGCCAGTACATAGTTGAAAATTTCATGATATTCGGTTCTGTTTGAAAGAGGTAGCTTAAAGTTTATGTTTGTTACAGATATCATTTACATATAAAAATAATGATATTATTGGCAGCCTTATCAGCCGGAACAAAAACAAATTCCTCGTCGAGTTCTTTTAGCATGACTGTTTGGTTTGGGTGTATGCTGATTTATATTTTTGTTTAGGAAAACGCGATTCGTGCGAGTACGGTGCATTTTCTCTTTTGCATTTTAGGTAGGTTTTTTCTGCCTCGTACTGTTATACATCTGTTCGTTGTTAATGAGAGGACTAAGAGCTCACAAACATGTTTAGAATCGCCACATTCTTTATATGCTAAGTCTGGAGCCTATAACAGATTGGTTGTTTTTCGTTGTTATCTTTTATATTTATTCCTGTTCATTGTTTTTAGCATCAATCAGGACTTTCGTTTTCTCGATTAAATTGTTTCACTTTTTGTCATGTTGGGGTCTTTAATCGCCTACTTTACGGTATGGCTTTTGCTAATTGTTGAAGGCCGTACAGTGTGACCGATAGTAGCTTACATCTTCATCCGTTAGTCTAGGATGGATTGTTGTCTCATTCGCATGTTTACTTTAATTCCTTATTTCAACATTTAGATCTTAAAAAGATTTAAATTGATAAGCAAACAAAGAAAACAAGAACAAACCCCTCACCCCCCAAAAACCCCCAAAGTACAAAAAAAACAAAACAAAACAAAACCCAACAAAAAAGCAAACCATAACAAATAAAACACACAAAAACCGACAAAAACATAACACATCTTTGCGTGCTGAATATTGGTTGAGTCATGATTTTAATTATTTTTTGGGAAAAATTGAAAAAACCTGAAGCATTGACTGCATAAAACTGATAAAGAAAACTAAGTCTCAATAGCAGTACCACTAAAAAGTAAAATAAAAGTAAAAGTTTGGAAAAGTAGGACGGAAACGTTAAAAATTAAAAAAAGCAACAACATTTTGTTACACGTGTGTTAAAATATGTGACAATTTCTATGGTAAGCATTGTTTTCTTTAGTGTACTTACTAATGTCATCATCAAAAGAAATAAGACATTGTTCTTTTGTAGTAATTCTTTCCGTTGGCTTTGGCTGCTCTGTAGGACGGGCAGGAGGGGGCCTTACTCTTGGTTGTTTTGGCAAGTCCTGTGGAATGCGTTCAGGTGGGCGTCTGCTTAGTGTGGTTTTATCATTCTGTCTTGTTTGGTCATGTCCAGAACTGCCCTTTTTGGCATAATAATTCTCGTAAAAGACCTCAGCTAAAATAACAAAATGGTCATTGTTTAACTCCCCTTTAAAAGTTTACCATATATTCATTATCATTTATGTGATATTTGTTCCCGCGAGTAGTTGCAAATCAAAGTTAACATATTCAATGAAGAAATTCTACGTTATATTGAAAAAAATCAACTTTGCTTTTAACATTAAAAAAAAAGTAAAATCACAAAAATACTGAACTCCGAGGAAAATTCAATCGGAAAGTCCCTAATCACATGGCAAAATCAAATGACAAAACACATCAAACGAATGGACAACAACTGTCATATTCCTGACTTGGTACAGGCATTTTCAAATGTAGAAAATGGTGGATTGAACCTGGTTTTATAGCGCTAAACCTCTCACTTGTACGACAGTCTTATCAAATTCCGTTATATTTACAACGATGCGTGAACAAAACAGACATTATAAATAAAATAGTCAAAATATGGGTACAGCAGTCATCACTGTGTTACAATATCAAAACAAACAATTATTTACAAAAAAGCACAAAAGCATCTATCAAATTAAAAACCACATTCATTGCTTCGCGTGTCCGACGTCAGAAAATGTAAACGTCACATAAGAAAAAAGTTTGTCATTCAATGTTTATTCAAAACAATTTTATAATTTCACATGGGGAATGTTGGTATACAGGGTTAAAAAATCAAAAGTTATGTTAGAATTAATTTCAGAAATAGACCGAGATTTAAAATTGTCCGGAAGTACTTTAGAATTTTTAAGAATCCACATATGGTTAATACCACTACGCGAGTAAAATAAATTTGTCGTTTGTCGTTCAAAGTATTTTCAAATTTATAATAGAATAATAACATAATGACATATAATAGAACAATAACATAATGCCGGGATCTTTTAAAGTACAGAGTCACGTTATAAGAACCACAGAAACACAAAAAGTCGCATATACAAAACACACCAGCAAAAATGAAAGATAATACAAACACATTGACGGGATGTATAAGTACCTAGCCACGTCAAATGGATATCACAGAAAACAAACCAAACAGTAAAAGTAATATTAATAATAGAACACAGACAAATGAAAGAACAATATTACACGTTGTTAAGATGATAAACAACGTCAGTATGCAGAATCTATACTTCAAAAAGCCTGTATTTCTACAATTTATAAACTCCTGGATTCATTTATTTTACTATATTTTAGTTGTGTTTTCGAAGTTTAATAAGTTTGATCCAAGTGCAAAAATTTGTCATCTATTCAGAATGAACCCACACACATTTTCACAATCCAATGCAATTAACAATAAAATTCTTCTAATCATAATTGTCCACATATTCTTTGAGAATATATAGGGTAAAGTCCGTTTGAATTATCTAAATCTTCATTTTTTTTATGTTTATGAATTAGGTTTTTTTTTTTTAGATTTTATCAATTTTCTTTTACATAGTTTAATAAGTCTAATGTACATAAATTTTTTAATTGAAAATCATGTTTATGAATTAGGTTGTTTATTTTAGATATTGTCAATTTTCTTCTACATAGTTTAAGAAGTCTAAAGTACATAATTTTTAAAAAGTTCCGTTTGTTAGTGAAACGCTGTCCCTAAGATCTAAAATTCAAAATTGATTAAAATGAAAAACAACAGTCAACGTAGTGATAGCAGCTACTTAGTACACGGACCTATTGCGTAATGTATTCATTTAGGTATCAAGGGTAAAGTGTTTGTCATTTACATTTCATTAACAGTTTTTTTTTTCATTGACAAACGAAAGAAATTTTCGATTAAGCTGTAGAAAGTGTACTGGAAATGTACATTTACAACAGAGACCTACCTGGTTAAAAAAAATACCAAAAAATTAAAGGTATGATCTTTTCATTGTACATTTCCATTAGAAAAAAATTCACTGCATTAAAAAAAAAGAAGTATAAAATATCATCCACGTACTTAAAATATATATTACACTGTGAATAAAAAAACATACGCAACTTAATATATATATTTGATGAATATTTTAAAAGCTTAGGATACTGTAACATACAAATATTTTTTCCATAAGTTTAAATCTTTTATTTTTAACAAAACAATGGATGAGTAGGATGCAGTAAAAAAAAACTAAATTGTAGAAACCAACTGTCCTTTGTGACATTTTCATAGAGCATAAGATTAACACTTTGATAAACAACATATCCAATAAAATAACTTATATGAAAAATAAGAAGCTGTGGTATAAAATTGAGAATGGAAATGGGGAATATGTCAAAGAGACAACAACCCGACCAAAGAGCAGACAACAGTCGAAGTCCACCAATGGGTCTTCAATGCAGCGAGAAAATCCCGCACCCGGAGGTGGTCATCAGCTGGCCCCTAAATAAAATTGTGTGCTAGTTCAGTGAAAATGAACGTCACACTAAACTCCAAAACATATAAATGAATATGACTGGTATGACTGTAAATGAGACAATTCTACACCAGAGATCAATGAAACTTAGTACACATATTCATTGGGACGTAAACTCGAAAATATGCTAACCACATTCTTTATGTGCCTGTCCCAAGTCAGGAGCCTGTAGTTCAGTGATTGTCGTTGGTTCATGCCTGTCATATTTGATTTTCGTAAATTGTTTTGTTATACATTAAGCCGTTAGGTTTGTCAATTGAATAGTTTCAGATTTTTCATGTCAGGGCCTTATATAGCTGACTATACGGTATGGGGTTTTCTCATTGTGTGTCGCACAACTGCCTATAACTGCTTACATCCACTTCATTTGAACTTTGGTAGATAGTTGTCTCATTGGCAATCACACCACATCGCCTTATATTTATATTAATTAGTATTGTGATCCACATTACGCGGTTTACTGAACATGTGTGTCCTATCGATACAGATTCTTATTGAAAATTATGTCTGATAGTGGAGTGACAAATCAGGAAAAGTCGCTTATTTAAAGAGTTTAATGGACCGAAATACCTCACGGCTGAAAATTCACATGAAGACATAAAACATTATACTTTCATTTTAGCCCTGTCGTAGAGTTTTCCCACGGTGCAGTTTTTTGTAAAATCGCGTTAAAGTGTGATTTTCGGAGTCTTTTCTTTTTCATTTTCAAACACGGGAACGCTTATAATAAATTCCCGAATGAAAATATCATCAAAAAGATTTGTATCAGATAAAAGAGTTATGTATCAGCTTTCATTTGACATCAAACTTTAATATCATATGAACATATAAATTGAGTGAATTGGACGATTTTCAAATGTATGTAACATTTTTTTCAATCTTACTGTCTGTCAAAGTATATTACATTTCTTATATATATCACCAATAGTAATTTTTTACAAAAAATAGTGGAACAACCAATACTCAAGAAGTTTTGATATATAAAAGTTTGATAGAACATACAAATCAACTTTTACAAGCATTTTTATAAAACTCGTCACATAGCAGTATTACTACTCAATTTTCACCTCAATAAGTCATGTAACGTTCCCCTTTCCTATTTTCCCTTGTCATATGAAATGCAATGAATTTAATATGCATTTTCTTAAGTTTTATAAAAAAAGTATATACATTTGTATCAATAGATGTGTCTATGTGCTTGAATAAGTACAGATGCTAAGGTTTAATAACTTTTGATGTGCTTTTATTTTTGTTTTTCGAAAAGACTAATTTTAAACCACATTGGAACACATCCGAAAAATTCCGGAAAATTATTGTCAGTGCTTATTCCATTAAATAAGAACGAGTTAAGTAGCTTAGATCGTGTTATTAAGCCTTTACATGTCCAAGAAGAAAACATTTTCATGCATTTGAATTAGTGAAAAAAAAAATGTAACAGAAACAAATGACAACCACTAAATAACAGGCTCCTGACTTGGGACCGCCACATACAGAATGTGGCGAGGTTAAACATGTCAGCGGGCGCCCAACCCTCTCCTTACATCGGACATTGGTGTACTAGTATATAAAAAGAAGATGTGGTTTGATTGCCAATGGAACAACTCTTCACAAGAGACCAAATGACACAGATATTTACAACTATAGGTTACCGCACGACCTTCAACAATGAGCAAATCCCATACCACATAGTCAGTTATTAAAGGCGTCAAAGGGACGATAAGGTTTATTTCAAATGGTGGTAGATCGAAATTGTTCTTCAAGTCATTGAATGCAGATCAATTAGAGATTGTAAGAAATTTCTTTGTGCACCTGAAAATATACATGGGTTGATAAGATTTGTAGGTACATTGTAACTATGCACTATCACACTACAATGATTTTGATTTGCAAGAACATGACGAAATATTTCTAGCGGGATCTTTTCAAAATCTAGACTGTGATGCAATTTTGTGAAGAATCTGTAAGTGACTGAAGAGGCAGATATAAGAATTATTCTGCAGCCTCTTTTTGCCAATGAACAGATATTGAAAAGTTATTCCAAGGGTTGCGTCATATTAAAATCATGACAGTTATGTTTTATTTCTAATAAGGTCTTTTCCTCAGATGTCAAACATGTTGAATTTTGATTTTAGACTGGAGGCGTTTCTTCAACCAAAGCCACAAAAAAGTTTTTACCTATTCACGACAGTTTTTAAAAGTTATTGGACCCCTGATGTCTGGCACACTAACAGCAGCTCGCGCTCTTACAGGATGCGACACGTCTTCTCTAATCGAAATTGGCAAAGGAAGACAATTACAAGGGTTCGGGAAAAACATGCATGTATCAAAATTTGTCATTCTTGTGGATTCTTATATTGACACATATGTTGCAGTGAAAATCAATTCACCGCGGATCAAAATGACCCCAGAAGCAATGGTCAATCAGTACATGGTGATCTGAAAAAACTCATGAGTTTTGTCGGCGCCATACAATGACATCCACTTTTTTTTTCTAGTATTCCGTTACCTTTTCAAATTGATGTGCATATTGATGTCTAGTGTTAGTGTATTATAATTAAACATAGACAGCACTTTTGAAGCGTAATATCCCTGTGAATCTTTGTTTGTAGTACACATATATATCGGGCTTTCAAGTCTGCTATATATTCCATTGTTTATAGATATAAGAAGATGTGGTATGAGTTCCAATGAGACAACTCTCCATCCAGGTCATAATTTGTAAAAGTTACCATTATAGGTCAAAGTACGGTCTTCAAAACGGAGCCTTGGCTCACACCGAACAGTAAGGGCTCCAATAAATGACTAGTGTAAAACCATTGCAACGGTCTAATCTACAGTAAAAACCTAGAAACGAGAAACATTTATGAACCACATCAACAAACGACAACCATGTCTGTCGTTGATTTATAAAAAAGGGGGACACATCTTCTCAATGTGCTATTGGTCTACTTCGGTACTGATTTATTTATTAACATAAAAACAAACTTCATATACTATAGTGTGATGAACATAAAGACTAATTTTTATAGTTCTAACATCCTCTTAAGTTTAAATAATAAGCCAAGAATTTCATCATTTTTTTTCATAACATCATGGACCGGGTGTTAACTTTACAGTTCTTATTTCTCCTCTGTTCTTTATGGCATTTTAACAACACTTTCTCAAAAATATCTTCATATGTGGCCATATATTATTACATAGCTAAATCTTAATTATGAATATTTTTTGTCGATAATTTCCGTAAATAAAGATATTTGTTTCATTTTCTTACATGTTGCAAGCGAGGGTATGAATCACTTATCTCTGGTAATCAGACATAAATATGACTAGCTGTATTTGTGAAGCATTCCTAGCGCATGCTTCCATCGAAAAAATTTCTCAGTTAACATGAGAGACTACCGAGAAATTGTCCAAAATGTCGAAAATTTGCAATTTTTAAAAATCCCCTCTTTTGACCTTTGACCGCAGTTTTCAAAAATCTGCACCACTTTGGCACTCTACGACACGCCTTAATCAAAGGATATTATATTTATCTACAAAATAAGACCAAAATTAGCCGTGAGGTATTTCGGTCCATTCAATTCTCAAATTTACCTTATTTGTCACCGTACTATGATGATTTATACATTTCAAACGGAAAATATATAATCGGATAAAGTATTGTTTAAATATTTTCACCTTTTAATGAAATTTTTATGTTTTCGAATCGATAAGAAGTTATCCAGTGTTGTTTGAAATATATGTTTAGATCACAGCTACTTGATTCGGTGTTCTATTTATTAAAATGCTGTAATTTGACCTGATGAATACATTTTGTACGAATTTAATACTTCCTTGAAATTTTGAATAATGGGCTAGAATGAGGTACTAATAATTTCAAATTGATTTGTTTTTATTTTGTGAAATATTGTTTTCATTCAAATGAATATCTTTTTTCTGTCGTACTATTTTAAATGTTAGAGTGTTCAAAATATAAGTATACCTAACTATTAATAATAATGTGAACACATTTTGTGATTATCAGTGAGCTCTCAAAATGCTCAATTACCTTTTGTGATTTTGAGAACTACTTCTTATTTTTGTGTAATTTCAAAAGCAAGTTTTCATCTCAAATAACAAAAGAGCAAACAAAATGTTTCGGTCGCATGCCAAAAGAGGGGGAAATAATGTTAGTTAGAAATAACACATATCTGACATATAAAGCGATGCAGCTTGTTAATATAAAGCACATTCCATAATTCGAATACACTGTTTTATCTGTTTTAATCACATATATATATTAACCTACCACTGGCAACAGTATTTTGTCATCGAAAAATTTAATCCACAAGAAATAAGCTTACACTGTCCATCATAACGTCACAGCACAATTTCAATTCCGAATTAATTGAAGGAATTTACTATTGCAAATCATCAAGCAACCCAACAATGATGTGAGAGGAATTAATGCAGTACATTTATGTTTTGTACACATTATAGGCAGAGATATAAATGCAAGTTTCAATTATTGTTTTGTTCTTGTCGCTTTTTCCAACTTAGAATATATCCTACCTGCTATAGATCTCCGAGATTTGACTGGTTCTGCTGCGTCGAGTTATCTTTCTTTGACATTGTCCGAAATAAGACAACATTCGTTAATTGCTCAAAGTTAGTAAAAAGATATACCCTTTTTTGTTGTAAGTAGGATATACATATTAAACAGTCCGACACTGACCTTATATGGTATACACACGGTTAGTAAATTTAATACGAAGTATCCAGCTACGTTCTTGTCCCTGACCGTGTATATACAATATTAGGTCTCTGAAGGCCTGAATAGGAAATAACTGTTGCTAGTGGTAGAACATATACTTGATGAGAAAATGCGTAGTTCAAACAAGAGAGAGATATAGGCATTTCGAGAGCAATCTTAAGTAAAAGCATATTACATATAAACTCACTTGGTAATTCTATACAGAAAAGAAAATGATTGACTATAATGGTATCAATAATTCACATCACATATTATAATAAAGGTAAATTGGTTGAATAGATAACCAACGACCGTTTAATACTTATTACGTTTATATATCACCAATTTGTTTTCTTTTGATTGGACTTGAGGAGATGCTTGACACAAAAATATATAAGTTATCTTGTTAATACCTGACTACTGGCTCTTACTGAAGTGGTCTACTGACCCTTCTGTGAAACCTCACCTCCCAGTTTCGGAGTGGGTTCATGATGTTAATCTTCTGATTTCTTTGTACTGTATTTCTTAATGTTTATATTTCATCATTTTTCATTTTTGTCAATGCATTGTGTTGTCTGTTATCATCTTGAGTTATTGTTTTGAATTTCTCACCACTAGGTAGCTTCTACGGAACATATGAACATAATTCGTAAAAGAAGCTAAAAATCTCTGTGTAATGTTAATGGGGATTACATATCCGACTTTGTTGTAAGAGGTCATTGTTTTATTCAGTTTGTGATAAATGTAGACTTTTTTCTTCTTCAAAATATTGTAATAAAGCATCGAATCGACTTATAATGGCATTGATATAGTGTTGAATTGACACGAATGACAAAAAATTACAAACTAATCAAAATTTGATATTGTTCTGAAGAAAAAAAATTGTTTACATCCTTTTTTTCTATGAAATACATAACATTTGGCTATACTTTAGATCCTTTTTGGTTTAACATGTAGACCCTATTTCGGTTTATCATGTAGACCCTTTTTTGGTTTAACATATAGACCCTTTTTTTGTTTAACATGTAGATCCTTTTTGGTTTAACATGTAGACCCTTTTTGGTTTAACATGTAGACCCTTTTTTTGTTTAACATGTAGATCCTATTTGGTTTAACATGTAGATCCTTTTTGGTTTAACATGTAGATTCTTTTGGTTTAACATGTAGATCCTTTTTTTGTTTAACATGTAGATTCTTTATGGTTTAACATGTAGATCCTTTTTGGTTTAACATGTAGATCCTTTTTGGTTTAACATGTAGATCCTTTTTTTGTTTAACATGTAGATTCTTTATGGTTTAACATGTAGATTCTTTTGGTTTAACATGTAGATCCTTTTTTTGTTTAACATGTAGATTCTTTATGGTTTAACATGTAGATCCTTTTTGGTTTAACATGTAGATTCTTTATGGTTTAACATGTAGATCCTTTTTTGGTTTAACATGTAGATCCTTTTTGGTTTAACATATAGATCCTTTTTGGTTTAACATGTAGATCCTTTTTGGTTTAACATGTAGATTCTTTTGGTTTAACATGTAGATCCTTTTTTTATGTAACATGTAGATTCTTTATGGTTTAACATGTAGATCCTTTTTGGTTTAACATGTAGATCCTTTTTTTGTTTAACATGTAGATTCTTTATGGTTTAACAAGTAGATCCTTTTTTGGTTTAACATGTAGATCCTTTTTGGTTTAACATATAGATCCTTTTTGGTTTAACATGTAGATCCTTTTTGGTTTAACGTTTAACATGTAGATCCTTTTTGGTTTAACATATAGATCCTTTTTGGTTTAACATATAGATCCTTTTTGGTTTAACGTTTAACATGTAGATCCTTTTTGGTTTAACGTTTAACATGTAGATCCTTTTTGGTTTAACGTTTAACATGTAGATCCTTTTTGGTTTAACGTTTAACATGTAGATCCTTTTTGGTTTAACATGCTATTTAAAAATGTTTGTATGAGGTTCTGGATTTTCAAATATTTTGACCAATTGAAATTGTCATAATGCACATCTGGTGCAGTACAATTGGTACCGTTTATGTTATGATGAGCTTCCTTTGTATTTGATATACTGTAAATTCATCATCAAAAGAAAAGTTCAGAGTTAATGTTTGAAAAATCCCAAGGTATAAAAAAAAAATAAAACGCTATCAACCAAATAATAATACAATTGGTATGTGGGATATGCAACCTAATAGTTGACACTTTCAACTTTGAATTATTAAAATTTTACAATAATGATAATTTCTTAAAATTAAAATGGAAAATGTTATCGTTTATTCATCTGATACAAAAAAAAAAGAAACAAATTGTAACGAACCTGGCCTTTCTGAACCTGTATTGTGTCTGTCAATAAATTCACGTAATTCTTTGTCTATGTCACACAGTTCTAACATTTGCCGAACATTTTCTGCACACTAAAAGTATAAATTACGATTATTTGATAGACTAATGTGGAATGCCCTACTCGCAGCTAAAGCTCTCTTCAACGTGTTTGGATTATGTTTAGCGATGACCTTCCTTTACGTTTGATTATAGAAATAATACCCTAGACTTTACTATGCCCTTAAAGTAACAATTTGAAATGTCGATATTTAACTGCATCTAAGTTCGGATTGGTTCCGGATTAAATATTGACATGATATACAATGCTACTAGTAGAAGGTGTTGGTAAAGTTCTGACTAATGGGTTCGTTTTAAAGTAATATCCAAATGTAAACTCCGTCTTAATAGATATACCTTTTAGGTTTGAATCAATCCAATGGAACATGTAGGATGCCTTTGAGAATTCAAACTAAATGGAAAAGTATGTAATTTAAAGATTTGGGAGTATTTTACTTAAAATAAGTAAGAGTTTTATTTGAATTCTGATCTCATTGACTAGTGAATTGATTAGTGTTGTCTAATTGAACTTTTTTTTTAATTCGTAACTCGGATAATCTTTCGACCGATTAACCGGTTAACCGGTAGTTAAGTTGATGTTCAAAGGACCTTGTCTACAGTATTTTTCAAATGTAAGGGAATAGGATATGATATATTGAAGATTGTTTTTTCGATTTTTTTCTGAGAGTTATGTCGAGTTTCAATCTGAAATGTTAACATGATTGTGGTACCACATGTATACAATAAATCAATTTCATATAATTTATATTCAAAATGTTTAAGGAAGTGAAGAAGTTAAAGTAAAATAATAAACTTAATCTAAATTGTGATCAGATAATAACTGCTCTATATATTTTCCTAGGTGCAAAATATTTTTACCTTATATATTGCACTCAAGCAGACAATTATTATTATTTCTATAATGCTAATTATTTTGTAATTTGAAATGTTTTCATTGTTAATCAAATTATCAATATACATGCACTGCAAAATTGATTTACACAAAATATTGAATCTTTATCTTTACTTTAATGGCGATTTACACAAGCCGGATAATCCGAACCTGAACATGATCTACAAAGGCATAGAAGACGCTTATCATGTCGACGTACCCAGTCTCGCAGGATGTGGTTTCTACCTCATGTACGATTGAATAGATTTGTGAGATTTGAGAATCGTTAGACAAATTTTGCCTCTAATTACCCAACATTGAGAATCCGTACTCATAATGAATGCTCACCTCATGATGATATACATAACATTTAGCTTTGGAATCAGATGATCATGGCCAACATAGCTCTTACCTGATCATGATCTACACATGTTTGGGAATATATACATAATCATGGCCAACATAAGCTCTTACTTGATCATGATCTACACATGTTTGGGAATCTATACATGATTATGGCCAACATAAGCTCTTACCTGATCATGATCTACACATGTTTGGGAGTCTATATTAGTACACTTCCAGAGTAGATCTCTAAGAAGTTCAATCCTCGCTTCTTCGAGATTTTCAAATACCTGCAGAAAAAAATTAGTAAACGTGCATTTATGAATAGAAAATGTCTAGAGAAGAAATATTTCAAATATTGATGGTGTAAATTATATTGACCTGAATATTGACCTTCATGACCTGTAGACATTTACAGCGTCACATGCATTTGTGTTTATTATATATCGTTTTCCATATGTTTCTATAACAAGTGGTAAAATGCTATGGTGCCAAAGAGCGTTTCAAGTCACTTTCTTTCAATCAAGACCAAGCTGACATCTAAACAGTGATCTTCGATATCGTACAATTCGTTTGATCTAATATATTATGCATATAAAAGTAACGAAATGACAATGTGAACAGGAAGAAAAAGTGAATTAGGATCATTTCTTGATATTGGTGAAGTAGTGAATAATTTAAAACAAAAATGCCCTTCTTAAATATAAACAAATGTAATTGAAAATTAAAGAACCTTTTTGAGCAAGCTCACATAACCCAAGACCCAACATTGTCACTGGGCAAACAAAATCTCACCAGATTCAAAGACTCATTATTCCTTCAAAAATAAACTGACAAACATTTCTTGTGGATATGCACATATACATATTATGTCCTCATTAACTACAAATTTTCATGAAATTCTGTTGTGTGGATTCAGAGGAGTTGCACTGACCAGCTGTTGCAGTAGTATATTAAGGTTAAAATTCGAAGTTCAAATGGGCATAACTCCTAGAACAAAATTGAATCAGAATTTCCTATCAAAATGCACATCTACATATTATGTCCTTATTATCTACAAAGTTATATATTGTCTGTGACCAATGAGAGAAAATAAGACAAGAATGTCTTGTCGTCCATTACATTATAAATATGGTAAAACGAACAAAAAAATAAATAAAACATCCTGACGAGATTTGAACCACTCAACATTAATTAAGAATTAAGAATAAGCTGCCAGATGCCATTCCTTTCTCGATCAATTTGTAGAAAAACCCACATCAGGTCAAAGTTCAAAAAAAGTTTTTAATTACAAAACATGTGTTCTCCATGTCTTTTTCCCATTGCGTTCTTATGTTCTCTAAAGTTTCTATGCTGCTCTTGTAGGATTGATCTGGAATAAAGGAAATCAACTATTTATTTTATACTTATTTTCGTCTTAAAGTATCGTTAAATAACAGATGTATAACGGAACTATGGACAACTGTCGTAGAAGTGGGAGGTTTTACCAGCTATAAAACCCACCATTTCGTTTCGGAAAATGCCTGTACCAATTCAGGAATATGAGAGAAGCGAAAGATACCAAAGGGACATTCAAACTCATAGGTCAAAAATAAACTGACAACGCCATGGCCAAAAAAAGAAAAAGACAAACACACAAACAATAGTACACACACACAACATTGAAAACCAAATACTGAGCAACAAGAACCCCACCAAAAACTAGGGTGATCTCAGGTGCTCCGGAAGGGTAAGCAGATCCTGCTCCACATGTGGCAACCGTCATGTTGCTCATGTTAGTACAAACCCGTAATAAGTCTAATAGGTCACATTCGGGGAAAGGGGGACGGGATTGTAGTTACTACAATTGGAACATATCCGTTATCATCTGAGAAACGGATATTCCATAACGGTCAACCAACTCGTGATGGCGTCCGTAAAATTTTCGAAGGGATGACTTCATTGTCACCACTTGGAACTCTTGGTTAAATAGCTTCCTTGTGAGCAGCAACCCTCTATGAACGAAATTATGATTGGAAATAGAAGCCCGGGAATATCGTATCATCTGGGAGATATATACTCCGTATGCAGGTGTTACTCGATTGTTGCTAAATAAAAATGGGAAGTTCACAATTTGAAAGCTGAAATCATCCCTTTTGTCGTAAAGTGTTGTTTTCAACCGGCCCTTAGTGTCAATTTCTAGATGCAAGTCAAGATATGAGGAAGACTTAACTGCATCTGTTGTATCCTTGTATCCTTAATGACAGTTGTTTTCCGTTCTTTACGTTGATTGGTATAGATTAACGTTTGAATTTGTCAGGTTTTGAATTTACTTTGGAGTTCGATATTTTTGTTAGTACTTATATTTTAAAATGCATATAATTCTGACGATCCTGATTTGCCAAACCATATTTAAAGATGTAAAATCGTTTTGCTTTAGCTTCATATTGTAGACGAAATGCGCGTCTGGTGTATATATTTTTAATCCTGATATATATGATGAGTTTATTTACAACCACTGGGTCGATGCCACTGCTGGTGGAGGTTTCTCCCCGAGGGTATCACCAGACTAGTAGTCAGCACTTCTGTGTTGACATGAATTATCGATCATTGATATGATCATTATAAATTAACTGTTTATAAAACTTCGAATTTTTCAAAAGACTGAAGATTTTCTACCCAGGAATAGATTACCTTAGCTGTATTTGACAAAACCTTTTGGAATTTTTTATCCTTAATTATCTGCAACTTCGAACTTTATTTGGCCTTTTTAACTAGTTTCATTCGACCGTCACTGATGAGTCTTTTGTAGACGAAACGTGCGTCTGGCGTATAAAATGTTAATCCTGATATCTATGGTCAGTTTATTCATAAGGAAATGTTACTTTTACATTAAATTACAATGACAGAGAATGGATAGTTTTGTACCACCTGCGGAATATAATTATTCCCCTTTGGAGTACCTGTGTTCTTCATCGTTTTTGTCGAGCCTGCGACTTTTGTCGCAAAAGCGAGACATAGCGATCCTACATTCCTTCGTCGACGTCCACAAATATTCACTCTGTGGTTAAAGTTTTTCAAATTTGAATAAATTTCTTAAACTATTCTGGATTTCTACCAAACTTGGACAGAAGCTTGTTTATGATCATAAGATAGTATCCAGAAGTAAATTTTGTATAAAAAAATCCTGTTTATCCGTATTTTACTCATAAATGGACTTAGTTTTTCAGCCAGTTAACATTACATTTACTCTGTGGTTAAAGTTTTTTCAAATTTTAATAACTTTCTTAAACTATCCTGGATTTGTACCATACTTGGACAGAAGCTTGTTTATGATCATAAGATAGTATTCAAAAGTAAATTTTGTTAAAAAAAAAAATCCTGTTTATCCGTATTTTACTTATAAATGGACTTAGTTTTTCTGCCAGTTAACATTACATTCACTCTGTGGTTAAAAGTTTTCAAAATATTAATAACTTTCTTAAACTATCCTGGATTTGTACCAAACTTGGACAGAAGCTTGTTTATGATCAAAAGCTAGTATCTAGAAGGAAATTTTGTAAAAAAATTTCCTGTTTTTCCGTATATTACTTATAAATGGACTTAGTTTTTCTTCCAGTTCACATTACATACAATCTGCAGTTAAAGTTTTTAAAAAATTTATTAGATTCATAAACCATCATGGATTCTTACCAAACTTGAACAGAAGCTTCTTACATTCAAAAGATAGTATCTAGAGGAAATTTTTAATCAATTATTTCCCCATTTTTGTTGAGCCTGCGACTAACAGCAAAAGTAGGCGAGACACTGGGTTTCGCGGAACCCTTACGAATTTTTGTGTGTAAAATTAGTATTCACGAGTTCTAGGACTGTTAGTATCATAAACTCAGTAGTGAGTGCTTCAGTACACCCACTGACATGGATAAATACCGACTTTTCTTAAATTCTCCGTTAAAATTATATATTATAAATTATTGGCTATTTGGGAATGTTAGCTGATCTAGGTAAATTAATTTGGGCTATTTGTGGTATCATTAGTGATAAAGGCTCACTGCAGTGGGCTGATTTGATAACATTGTCGATCTTGATACACTGCATGCAGTGGGATATTTGTGTTTTATTATACTTCACGTTGAAATGCCATATTTTGATTGGCTAATACCAGGGTGTTAACTTACTCTTTTACCCTTCATGGAGACGCTTGATCAAGTGTGCGCTTTATTAAATACGATTCTATCCTATGGCAAATACTCTATTACCCTTCACGGAGACGCTTGATCAAGTGTGCGCTTTATTAATTACGGATGGTTGTTATGTACAAGACGTCATATTTCATTACTTTGAATTTGAAATTTAATCGACAGTAATAACAGAACATTCAGTATAATAAATTAAATAACACATATCTGAGAGGGTGATAGAGCAGATTGTTACACCTCGAAAAGACATTGTCAACCTTGGCTTCGCCTCAGTTGACAATGTTTTTTCGGGGTAACAATCTGCTCTATCACCCTCTCAGCTATGTGTTATTTATATACTGTTGCTGATTTGGGTACACTCTAAGGGCTATATAACTACTCTAAATAGCATACATATATATACACTACAATGACATATTTGTGTGTACCCTTGGGGATCATCGTACTCTGCTATTGGATATTTATTTACCATTTGGCGGTTCAGGAACACTACTAAAGGCTATGGGTGTACACATGGCGATTAAGGCTCACTGCTATGGGCTATCCTTTAAGTTCAGAGTACACTGCTATTTGTTAATTGTGCAACATTGGCTATCAAAGCTTGCTTGTCAATGGCGATCAAAATATACTGCTATAGGATAATTGAGTACCCTTTTGCGATCTAGGTACACATAGAATGGCGTGTTGTACACTTGGCGATCCAGGTATACAGCCGTGAGCTCTTTGTACACTTGGCGATCTAGGTACACTGCTGTGTACCCTTGGGAATTTAGGTATACTGAGATGAACTATTTGTTAACATTTATGTGACCTGAGTACATTGACGTTAAATGTTATCACATTATATTACTGAAACACATTAAATTACTGACACACATTAATACTGAAACACATTATATTACTGACACACATTAATACTGAAACACATTATATTACTGACACACATTAATACTGAAACACATTACATTACTGAAACACATTATATTACTGAAACACATTATATTACTGACACACATTAATACTGAAATACATTATATTACTGAAACACATTATATTACTGAAAGCCAAAATGACATTACCTGCTTGTTCCATAGTTTCAACAGATTTTTCTTTGATTTTCTCTATCTAAAAATAAAAAGAAACATTAGTTATAACACATTAAAAATGTAATTTATTATACTTTCATCTCCTTTTCTATGGGTATAATGTTTTGAGTCAGAATAGTGACACAACCTTAGTATCCTTTGAGAATTAATACCTAGATCATCTCCATCCAGTTTTTGGTGGGGTTCTTGTTGTTCAGTCTTTAGTTTACTATGTTGTGTGTTGTGTACTGTTGTTTGTCTGTTGGTCTTTTCCTTTTTTAGACATGGCGTTGTCAGTTTATTTTCGACTTATGAGTTTGAATGTCCCTTTGGTGCTTTCGCCTCTCTACTAACTATATAAAGTATATCTATGTTTCACTAAATATTTTTTTTAATCGATATATAAATATACATTTTTAAGAATAGAATGTCTAACTGACGGAGCATCTCAAGAAAAGTACAATTACAATTCTCCAAGTATCTAAACAGAGGGAAAATTAATTTTACTAAATAAGTGTTGATGCCTAAAACAATATATGAATTCATTGGACCCAGCTGTTGGTTATGTATCATGTGATAAGTACACTCATTACGGGCCCTTTTATAGCTGACTATGCTGTATGGGTTTTGCTCATTGTTGAAGGCCATATGATACGGTGACATTTAGTTGTTAACTTCTATGTCATTTTGTCTCTGGTGGAGAGTTGTCTCATTTGCAATTATACCCCATCTATTTATTTTTACATTTACAACAGAAAAGTTGGTATAATATTCATGTCAGGCAAATGAATTGTAACGCAGATAAAATTCAACAATTTTTGCTATTTCTGGCTTAAAAATATTTGTGACAACGAAGCTAAATTGGAATAACCCACATACAAGACTCCAAGCTGTGTTGGAAGTATTTAAAGTGTTACTCCCCTTCACCGAATAGATTTATAACCGCTCTTCATCATTTACACTTATTATCTAACTTGTTGGAGTGTGGATATACTGTAAATAAGCTTTTATTCACTCACGGTTGGTTATGTTGTAATTTGTGCGCAATAATTCTTTACTTTAATCGATAATCAACTCGTAAATTCGTTATGAGTATACAAACAAAGACAAAAATTGAAGGAAACTCATGAACTCCCTAATGGATTGAAGCTCGTGAACTTTCTAATGAATGGAAATTCATGAACTCCCTAATGGATAGAAACAACGAACTTTCTAATGGATGGAAACTCATGAACTCCCTAATGGATGGTAACCGAGTGCTCTGATATGGTAATTATCTGTAAGAGATTTAGAGAATATGGTTTGATGTTGGAAATCGTCATGATGGTACATGATTACTCTTGGAAAATAAAGCTGCAATCCCCCAATTCAATGGAAATACAACTTAATTACGTGCGTCCACCAGGATCCTAAACATTTGAAAGCCAGGGATGTATAAATACTCAGAAAAAAGCTTTAGGAGCTATATGATCTAAAGAGACTGATGAGAATAGCCAAATTTATCTTAGGTTACTTTAAGCTAACATAAGACAGTTTTAACTGTTTGTTTTCGATCCCTTTTGTTTTCATATGCTCTTAATCTTCATACATTTATTTTACGTTTCAAAGGTTTGGTCTCGAGTGTATATGAAGTGTAGAAGTATAGAAATACATTGTCCTGAGCGTTTATTTCAGACAGGGAAGTGTAGAAGTATAGAAGTACATCTTCCTAGAGCGTTTATTTCAGACACCAATTTCATAAACCATCGGTACATGTATGATGTAAATTACCTAGCCCTAAACACTTGACCTTTAAGAGGGACTTTTAAATATAAGCACGATTATTCAGAACAAAGAATATACAAGTTTGGCAACGACAGAAATAACACATGTTATCGCACCGCGGGTAAATTATTACGTTGTGATTGGTTTAACGCCGTCACGTGGTGACCCCCTATGGATCCGTAGGGGGTTAGTAAATTTCATAGTGGGTTCATGACGCCACGTCTACTGTTAATGGTGACGTCATCTATTGATGTTGTTGTATTTCATTGTTTATTTTTCTACAAAACGCTGCAGAAAAAGTCTCGCGTGCGATAAATTCGTTATACGGTTCACTACTGACCCCCTACGGACCAATGAGGGTGAATAAAATCCACAGGGGATTCGGCCTTCGGCCTCACCCCCTATGGATTTTACTAACCCTCTATGGATCCGTAGGGGGTCAGTAGCGAACCATATAACTTATAATATTGTACATTGAAAATTTAAAAAGCAGCAAAAACAATACTGAAAAATACAAAGTGCGACATGAGGTGCTCTGGAAGGGTAAGCAGTTCCTGCACATGTCTCTCTAGTGACATATATCGTGCTACTCATGGCATGTTAAAATCTAGCTACTTCTGTGATGTCAAAAAAAAATAGACGGAATTGTGGGTACAAATGAGCATATTCATGATCATCTGTGACATAGATATTTCATAACTCTAAACAAAATCATTATGACGTAAGTGAAATATTCGAAGAGACATTCGACTAACCATTCAGAACTCTTGAATCAATATTTTTTGTAAGCAGCAACACACAATTAAGTTGAGGGCATGTTCGATGTTTAAATTTGACAAGCAATGGCTTACCTTGTCTAGATCCTTCGTTTTCACAGTGACACTTTGTTTTGCATTGTTGAAAGCCTCTTCGGCGTTATCCTTTTCCCGACATCTTTGAGTGTATTTTTCTTTAAGCTGGAAAATTTATGAACTTGTGCAATACACGAGAATCTAGTTTGAACTACCTGGGATGATTTCATGACTAAAAGAAACTTATCTGGTTTGTGAGAATTCTTATTTGGCTCAATGAGTACATCATTGTTTGGCGATTAACACTGTTTTCGTGTCATGAAAGTAAGTTTGCCAAAAAATTATTGTGTCAATGTTGTAGATAAGTACATGTAATAAGTTTATCAAAATGTTGGCATTTTATAGGATTACCGTACCGTTGAGAAAACAAAATGGAGTATTGCATCAAAATATATGATCGTTTAAAAAGTTTACATTTCCAAAGTAAACTAAACCATCGTTCAGTTGACTGAACAAATATTTGAAGGGGGAAGGGAGGGGTCCTTAATTTATGTATTCTTATTCTTCAAATTATTAAGACATTTTTCTTAATTTTCAAAAATAATGAAAATGATTTTATTATCAATTATATCTGCAATTAAATGATATCTGTATTATCTAATTCTTTTATTTTCCACAGTTATTCTTTATACCCGATTATTATCAATTCTTTAATTTTTCTGTTACTTTCTTTATTCATTATATTAGTTGGTCATTATTCTCTATTCTATAAACCCCATCAAGACCCTCATTTTTTTCAAAAACTCGGAAGTATTGCGGATTCGTAGCCAGAATTTAAAACTGTGGTGCTTTATACACAATTGTATACATTATGAATTTTCCGAAATACCAAGGATGTTTTACCCCAGGTATAGATTACCTCAGCTGTATTTGGCAAACCTTTCTACATTTTGGGTACTCAATGCTCTTCAACTTCGAACTTCATTTGGCCTTTTATTCTTTTTTTTTTATTCGAGCATCACTGATGAGTCTTTTGTAGATGAAACGCGCGTCTGGCGTACAAAATTTCAGCCTGGTATCTATGATGAGTTTATCGACACTGGGTTTCAAATTAACCATGCCAGACTTAAATGTGCCTATCCATTGCAAGGAACCTCGTAAGTGTTAGTCTTTTGTCATAACTCAATGCGTGTGTAGTAGGTTTGTGCATTTTGGAATTTTGTGTCAATGACAGATCTTTGTTAAGTTGTCACAACTGTTTTAGTCTCGGGGAGATTAAGAGCTTGAATTACTGTAAATAAATTGTCGTGTCTTTAGTTAGAGACCACACTTGTTCACCTCTAGATGTCTGTGTTTCATGCGTCTCCTATGAAGTATACAAACCGCCTCGGTGATCTCGTGGTAGCGTGTTCGCCTCTAGTGCGGAAGGTCGCGGGTTCCAACCCAGACAGGGACAAACCAAAGACTTTAAAATTGGTATTTGTTGCTTCTCCGTTGAGCACGCGGCATTAAGGACCAAGCGCAAAGACTGGTCAAATCGGAGTCGGAATAACGTGTCCGTATAGGGTGACCTGTCTTCCTGCGGACTGTTACCTTGTAAACTAGCACGTTAGAAAATCGACTCATCGTGTCGGTCTAGTACAAAGCAAGGTTAATATTTATACTTCATAAAAATGTTCTCGTCCTGAATATGCATTTAATTTGTCTCTGTACGTTACACAGTCATCCATCATCATCATCATCATCATTGATGTATACCAAACAGCTACTAATCCTAAAACATATAGTTACTTTTTACAAGAAATAGTACTTTCTATGATAATAAATAATATAATGTTCTTAATAGAAATACTCACTGATATAGTATGCTTGTAAGATTGTTGTTTTAATTGATTTGATTTTCTTATATTTTCGTCAGTCTGTAAAATAATATATAATTTCCGTAATAAAATAGTTTATAATCTCAATCCATTTTAAACAAATTAACCTGTGTACAGCTGTGAAAGGAAAATTAATTAATGAAAATTACACTTTATCATTTTATGAACGCTTAATGAATTTGGAGTCCAAAGCGCTTTTCTACGATATACCTTCAACAGGATCGAACGCTCGAACACAAAAATTTGAAGACAAGGCTGAAAAAAATACTGGAATACTGGAGGAGCTATATGACCAAAAATGACCTAAATGTACAAATCCACTCTGCTTGAAGGAGTGTGAACCTTTAAATTGTTTCTTAATGTATCGACGAAGAATTTATTAAAGGTCTAAATTTAAGGTATGAAATAACTCATGCCAGCCGAAGTACTGACTGATGACATGATAATGTCCTTTAGGACCAGCAGTCCTCCAGGAGCAGTTTCGACCAGGTGCTAGAAAATGTAACTGACACTTGGTAAATAAGGAGCGTCCGACGCGCTTTTCTTGAATTACCTTTACAGGGAACGGTCACACCCACACAAATTGGAAGCCAATGATGTAGAAAAAAATGAATACTTTAGGAACTTTATGACCAAACTCAACCTTATGTTATTATTAAGATTTGTTTTCAAACTTTATTGACAAATCTGTCAGTAATTTTTCCCATCTAGTCAAATTCGTAAAGAGAGGCGAAGGTAAGCAAAGGGATAGTCAAACTCATAGGTCGAAAAATAATGGATAATGCCATGGCAGAAAAACGACTAAAACACAAATATACTATAAAAGCAATGTTAATATATGTAAAATATCTTTTTGGGTAAAGCTCTTGCTCATATATATCTTGCACTGTGTCCAGCGACCTATATATGTTATACATTATTATGTCACATTATTATAATCCGACATAAATTGATTGATTGGTTGATTGGTGTTTTAACGCCACTTTCAACACTATTGTGCTATTTCGTGGCGGTCAGTTTTTATTGGTGGAGGAAGCCGGAGTGCCTGGAGAGAGCCACCGACCTTCGGTAGGATAACGGACAATCCTAGTCAATTAAGATTGGAGTCGAGTGCACCTGCTACGTGTGGGATTCGAACTCACAACCTCAGTGTTGACTGACTAGTGATACAGTAGTTCGACTACTTAGACCACTCGGCCACCGAGGCCCCTTGACATTAAATAACGTACCACATGCCTTTTACTATTCTGATCAGCACTGAACTCTGTTAATTCACGTTCCAATGAGAGGAATTGCTTTGCTGCCAAGTCATGAACTGCTGATATTTTTTCCGTCTCACGCTGCAGCTGTAAAATTGATTTCCCAAGATCTCTGAAAGATATACACACAAACACAAAAAACTTAAACGTTTCTCGTTGAACTTTATTTAAAAAAATAAAAAAAAAAATATATTCCTAAAATCAAAATAAAAAAAAAAAAAAAAAATAGACATCGTAGTATAATTAATTGTTATAAACCAATCACATATCGTTAAAAAGAAATAATATAAAAATAATGTAATTAAAGAAAAAAAAAGAAAGTTTTAAAAATTAGAAAATTTGCAAGTATTTTACCATCCTTTGTATGTCACTCGAATGCATTAATAAGCTAATATAGTGCAACTCTAAGTAAAAGTCGATTGATTCATTACCTAACGTCCAATAACAAATAGTTCATAGATATTCAGGACGAGAACAAATTACCAATAAATACGATAGGTATGTATTGCAAATTTCGCCGACCAGGGTGAAGGACAGGACATTTAGATTTCAAAAGGTCACCTACTGACCATTCAAGAAAGGGCTTGGCAGTCTGAGTCTCCCTAAACGAGGCATTGGATTTAATGTTGTCATTCCAACCGGACGTGGCTGCATATTCATACATATTTGTATATTGGTGTTCTTGATATCCGACATATGAAGTAAATAAGATATGGATATACGTAAAAAAAAATCATCAACCATTCTGAACAGCAAAACGAACTCCCTTCTTTAGCATGTGTATTCTTGTTCGGATTGGAGACATCCAGGTGGCCATATGTCTATACGCCATTCAAATCTTGGGGTTCGAATCATATGTAGGAAATGGAATATTGATGAAATTAACCTGATTTTCAAATATATCTAGTTCACTTTACAACTGAACTGCAAAAAATAGCACGTCTTTTCAATACGATGTCAGGGTTTTTTGTTGTTGAAGGTTTTTTCTTCTTTGTTCATTTTTACCTAATTCTCTTATTCTCTACGCCCTCTTTCTGATTGACACATAAAAGAAAATTACTATTGCATGCACTTGTATCATGTTTTACTTTATTTAAGAGTCTGTACAACCAGTTCTGGTATAATTAACACAAACAATATAAAATACAACATACCCCATCTCTTCTGGGTTACCAATTTTCTTCACTGCGATCGACAAAGCCTTAGAGTAGGCTTGTTCTGCTTTTATTCTTTAAAAACAAAAGGCATGTCTATTTTATTACATTTAAATGTACAATACACATACCCCGTATCATCGTTCGTCAATGCATAAATAAATATGGTGTCATCGACAACTAGCATGATTTCCGCTCAAACCGGCGCTAGGGGTTGCTTGAGGTTGCAACGAGGTGTGAGCCTTTCCCTAGTGTTGAAACTTGACTGTGACTTTGGAATGAAGAACTGCAATAAAAGCACCGTTCTTTTTCTTTGGGTAAAACAATATTTGTATATTGGTGTTCTTGATATCCGACATATGAAGTAAATAAGATATGGATATACGTAAAAAAAATCATCAACCAAACGACATAAAAAGTAAAGATAACAAGAGGACGATACATTATATTCAACAGTAGACAAAGTTCTTTCATTATGCGTATGTCAAGTTCTATATCGACTACAGTGTAGACAAATTGCTAAAATTTTAAATCCCGTTAAAAATTTGTGTTTACATTAAATGCAAATCATTTAATAAGTAAGGACGATATGTACAATTTCCAAAGGCTGTTATTGCATGAAAAAAAAGTCATCCAAATCGAGGAAATTCGTGAATGAAAATCTGACTACATCATAGACTAGTGTTATTAGTATATTGTCTTTTGAGTTACCTTTCTTTGAGGAATTCATCTATTTCTTTACACATTTTTTTGCCTGATTTCAATCGTTGACATAAAACTTCATAGCCTCGAACTCCTAAAAAGTCAGCGTCCTATGATAAAAAAAAAACAAAAAAACCACAATAGTGAATTATTCATGTTCCTGATTCAATGCATGCGTAATTATCTGATGTGTGTATAAAAGTAAGGAATCTGTACCAATAATTGGCCGTAATTGGCCACGTTGTCGCTAAAAATTAACAATGTATATATCCAATTTTACTGTTAACCAAGAATTTACTTGCAGTTACTTTCGTGTTTAACCCTTGCTAATTATTTCTTACAGAATATTGTTCGCGATTTTCAACCTCTGTCACTTTAATCATATAAGAAAATATTCAAGTTTGATAATGTACATTTCGAGCGATATATATTCGATCGCGACAATTAATGTGTTTGATTGAACTTGATTTTGATGTAGCAGTAGGGCATATTTTCTTTCCATTATTACCAGCGGTGTACCATCTATGATAAAATCTTGACCCCTTGCAGTGCCAGTCAATGCTATACCACCTGATCTTAATATATAACATAAAGAGATCTGGTGTGATTGCCAATTAGACAATTATCCACAAGAGTTAAAATGAAGTGGATGTAAGCAATAATAGGCAATCCTACGGCTTTCAACGATGAGAAAAACCCATACCATGCATACATTAACATTACTTATTGCATACTTTTAACGTTAGTATATTTTACTTTTCTACACTTTACACAAGTATTCCCCATTCCAAACTAAAAGACAAATTGAAAGAGTTGGTATAATTATTGCTTTGTTTCATAAAAAAGAATGGCCAACGTAGATACAAGTATCTTGTCTTAGGGAGGGATAAATCTTACTTTGTAAAAAATCACGCTGATTCAAACAAAAAATTCTCTGAAACTGTCATTATCAAGATGCTTGATTTCTTGATTGACAACATATTTGTTACGTTTGGAGGACGTGTTTTTCAACAAACAATCGGCATTCCCAAGGGAACCCCTATTGCCGAAATGTTACTTTATTCTTATGAGGCTGACTTCATACAGGAACTTCTTAGGAAAAAAGAAAAGAAGTTACCAATATCCTTTAACTTTACTTTCCGCTATATAGATGATGTTCTCTCACTAAATATTTCAAAATTTGGTGACTATGTTGAACGCATCTATCCCATCGAACTTGAGATAAAGGATACAGCAGATACAGTTAAGTCTGTCTCATATCTTGACTTACATCTAGAAATTTACAATGAGGGTCGGTTAAAAACAAAACTTTACGACAAAAGAGATGATTTCAGCTTCCTAATTGTGAACTTTCCATTTCTATGTAGCAACATTCTAGCAGCGCCTGCATGCATACGGAGTATATTTCTCCCAATTGATACGATATTCCCGGGCTTGTATTTCCTATCATGATTTCCTTTATAGAGGTTGCTGCTCACAAGGAAGCTATTAAACCAAGAGTTCCAAATAGTGAAGTTGAAATCATCCCTTCGTAAATTTTACGGACGCCATCACGAGTTGGTTGACCGTTATGGAATATCCGTTTCACAGATGATAGCAGATATGTTCCTAATGTCGTAACTACAATCCCGTCCCCTTTTCATGAATGTGACTTACCGAATGAGACTGTTAACCGGGTTTCTACTAACATGAGCTTCACGATGGGTGCCACATATGGAGCAGAATCTGCTTACCCTTCCGGAGCACCTGATATCACCACCAGTTTTTGGTGGGGTTCGTGTTGCTTTGTCTTTAGTTTTCTTTGTTGTGTTTTGTGTACTATTGTTTGTCTGTTGTTTTATTTTTCTTTTTTAGCCATGGCGTTGTCAGTTTATTTTCGACTGATGAGTTTGAATATCCCATTGGTATCTTTCGCCTCTCTTTTAAGGACGGAGCTAGCAGATTAATCGAAAGTGAAATGTGAGAAATGTGAGAAATGAACGTATTTGGTGTGATGTGTGGCATAATTGTTTAATCTTCATCTTCACTCACTCAAACAATTAATCGAAAAAAGTTAATTTAGGTCCCGTGCATAACTTGTAGTAATTTAAAAAAATTGTGTCATAATTTATCAAATAATTACAGGTGTGTTTGGTTTTGTTGTTTGTGTGTTTTTGTGTTTGTTTTCCTATTTCGTTTTGTTGAGTGGTACTTTCAGTGCTTCATAACCTTCAAAGTTTTTTTTCATAGAGGGTCTGGATGTGGGTCGTCATTTCTTTATTTTTCAATTTTTAGTTTCTTTTTTCTTTATTCTTCATGTTTTTGCACATTATTTTCTATTCCTTATATTTTTGCGATCCATTATTCACTGTCCTTAATTTTTTGCCATTTTTTTCTATTCATAACTTTTTGACCCATTATTCTCATTTCTATCAACCACAACCATACCCTCATTTATATTACAGACCCTCATTTATGATTGTATATAAAACCAAACTTCCTGTTTAACTAGGATGTAGATAAGTTATACAAGTGCAGTCACTTATATAAAATATCTTTTTACCGGATCAAAGTCAATTATAGGAAAGAAAGGAATAGAAACCGAATGACACTAGCACAAGATCAAACACGGAAAATAATGAAACATTCATGATAGAAAAAGGAAAAGAAAAGAAAAGAAAAAGAACAACAGAAAACACATGTAGATTTGAAACAGTACTGTCTCCCTGTATCATTCAAACTTGTAAAAAATCCTACTGAAAACCAAAGTGTCTTCTCATAGCGTTTCTGGTCTGGTTTAAATGTATCCCTAAGACCTTGATGTTGCACTGTGTCTATATATACTGTCATATAGTTCAATACATTTTGATGAACAATACCATCTTTTAAACACAAGAATTAATGAATTTATGTAATGAAAAAAAACAAACGTAATGTAAATATCAGTATTACCAATTGTTGCATGTTAAATTTAACTTACCCAAAACCCGTCAACAAATTTAAGTCTTGTCATTTTGATCGAATGAGGAAGTTTAAATCTATAAATATAACATGTATAAAGTTCAAAGATAAAGGTTCTTTGGTTATGTTAAACATTTAAGTGTTTATACAGTAAATTACGTTAAGATGCAGTTAAGTGCATACTTCCGCAGTGTACTGCAGCTAATGGTCTGATAACTGTCTTCCCTATCACAGATCCGTCAAAACATAAATTGGCCAAGAAAGGGGGGAGTTATTTGTTGCTAAAGTAAAGCGTTTATGGAGCACCTTAATTGAAACAAACAGTGATATTGTTTTAAAGGTCTTACTTTTTTATTTTGATACATAAGCGCAATATTGGACTTCTTTATCTGATATCAGAAGAAAGCAAAATTGAAGAAAAAGAAGACGGGTCGACACATACAATGACAGATAAATGCTTAGTTTTCTGGAAGATATGCTCACGGCTTACCACCAGGCACACATATTTCATCATGTTCATTGAAGACATCATATTTAGAAACGATGGCGGAATGTGTTTATGGCAGATATAAAACATTTCTAAACATGCTAAAGTCGACCTGAAAAATATTTTGTGATTGTCAAAAACGGTTGCAACTTGTCCCACCTAACTATTTATTAAAACATAAAAAGGATACCAAGTATTACGAAATATAGCTTAACAATGCAACAGGAATAAAAACCAGCAATACCCGACTCCTCCTAAATAAATCCCATCAAACATAACCAGCAATACCCGACTCCTCCTAAATAAATCCCATCAAACATAACCAGCAATACCCGACTCCTCCTAAATAAATCCCATCAAACATAACCAGCAATACCTGACTCCTCCTAAATAAATCCCATCAAACATATTCACACCTTAGTCCTATAACATAAGACCACAATATGTTTCTGTATATTTGGGACAACGTCGTTAGGACGTAAGAGAGAGGCGAAAGATACCAAAGGAACATTCAAACTCATAAGTCGAAAATAAACTGACAACGCCATTGCTAAAAAAAAAAAAAAAAGACCAAGAGACAAAACAGTACACACAACACAACATAGAAAACTAAAGACTGAGCAAGATTAACACGAACCCCACCAAAAACTGGGGGTAATCTCAGGTGCTCCGGAAGAGTAAGCAGATCCTGCTCCACATGTGGCACCCGTCGTGTTGCTCATGTTAGTACAAACCCGGTGATAAGTCTAATTCGGTAGGTCACATTCGGGAAAAAAGGGACGGGATTGTAGTTGCGACAATTGAAACATATCCGTTGTCATCTGTGAAACGAATATTCAATAAAGACCAACTAACTCGTGATGGCATAGTCCTTGTGAGCAGCAACCCTCTATCAAGGAAATCTTGATAGGAAATACAAGCCCTGGAATATCGTATCAACTGGGTATGCAGGCACTACCGTAATGTTGCTACATAGAAATAGAAAGTTCACAATTAGAAGCTGAAATCATCTCTTTTGACGTAAAGTTTTGTTTTCAACCGACCTTCATTGTCAATTTCTAGAAGTAATTAAGTCAAGATATGAGGAAGACTTAACTGTATCTGTTTTATCCTTTATATATAGTTCGATGGTATAGATGCGTTCAACATTGTCACCAAATGTTCAATTATCTAGTGAGAGAACAAGTATGAAGTCAGCCTCATATAAATAAAGGAACAAGTCGCCAAGAAGAGGGACACAGTTAGTTCCAATGGGAATGCCGATTGTTTGTTGAAAAACACGTCCTCCAAACGTAACAAATATGTTGTAAATCAAGAAATCAAGCATCTTGATAATGTTAGTTTCAGAGAATTTTTTGTTTGAATCGGAGTGATTTTTACAAAGTACGATTTATCCTTTCCTAAGACAAAATACTTGTATCTACGATGGGCGTTGGCCATTCTCAGGCTTTTATGAAACAAAGCAGACCAACTCTTTCAATTTGTCTTTTGGTTTGGAAATGTGCATACAAAACGTTGTAACAACGTTGAATAATGTTACTATAGTAACCCACATCGTTAGATAATTCTTATATTATTTGCATATTAGGGATCACGTTTACATAACTGGTCGAGGGGGGCTTCCGGTAGTGTCTCTTGAAGTTATTAATTTTTATGCCAATTTTCTCTGTTCTTTATAATTTTTGGATTTATCATCTATTTATTATATTTTAGCACAACGTTATTCTCTATTCTTTATATTTTTAGCCGATTTTTCTCTATTCTTTATTTTTTTGTCATTTATTCAGCCTATCTCGCCCATTATTCCTTCATGTAAACCCCATCCATCCCCTCCTTGATGTGGGTCGTCATTTCTGTAATCATTTTTTTTTCTCTTCTTCTTCTTCTTCTTCTTCTTCTTCCTACTTCTCCTTTATTATTATTTATAATATAATTAGTATCATTTTTTTCACATCAGATTACTATATTATTCAGTATCTCAGCTAGTAGTTTACCGAAAAGGAATCACCGTTTTAAAAAGCCAATAAAAAATTGGTATGAGCACGGATATGTATCGTTTCTTTTAGAGTGTTTCTACTGAATTTTGTTGTTGTTACAAAACAAGAAACCAGTCGACATTGTCACATGCCAAAACAATAAAAAAAAATCACAGACAAGAAAGTAAACAGTAAGCAGATTAATTGACTGTTTGACATTTATTAATTTATATGATAACATATTACTTTCATTACAGTGAAATGATTTGGATATGGGGAAAATAATCAAAATTCTAGTTAAACATGGGTCACACGGAAGTTGAAATAGATCCTGCATACAAATCTTCCTGATTATAAAACAAATGATAGATCATTAATATCTATACTTACTAAATACCTAATACAATTAACTGAGTCCGGAGCGATTTTCTGATTTGGTTGCCAATCTTCTCTCTGGATTTGCGGGCTGGAACGATATATTCCTAAAGGATAAGAGTGTCCTAATCCTCTAGTGAAACCCATCTTGTAATTCTTGCCGTAAACTCAGGGGCGAAACTTAACTTTGTAAGGCCAGTAGCCAGCTGGGCTCCTAGACTTGAAAATCAGTTAGCCCAGACAATAAGTTAGTAGCCCACTTCATTTCACTATGAGTGTCACTGGTGAAGCCCGCGAAGCGGGCTGAACTTGCTAGGGGGGTTTGGGGGCATGCCCCCCCATGAAAATTTTGAAATTTTAGACTCAAAACCCTGCATTCTGAGCATACCTGGAGGTGATTTAGATGCTTGGGAAAATGTAAATTTTGTCTTATTTTTTGTTGTTGACTTCAATCAAATTTAATTAAAAAAATAATCAAAATTCTAGTTAAACATGGGTCACACGGAAGTTGTAATAGATCCTGCATACAAATCTTCCTGATTATAAAACAAATGATAGATCATTAATATCTATACTTACTAAATACCTAATACAATTAACTGAGTCAGAAGCGATATTCTGATATGGCTGCCAATCTTCTCTGGATTTGCGGGCTGGAACGATATATTCCTAAAGGATAAGCAGTTCCTAATCCTCTAGTGATACCTATCTTGTAATTCTTGCCGTAAACTCAGGGGTGAAACTTAACTTTGTAAGGCCAGTAGCCAGCTGGGCTACTAGACTTGAAAATCAGTTAGCCCAGACAAAAAGTTAGTAGCTCACTTTATTTCACTATGAGTATCAGCGGTGAAGCCCGCGAAGCGGGCTGAACTTGCTAGGGGGGTTTGGGGGCATGCCCCCCCATGAAAATTTTGAGATTTTAGACTCAAAACCCTGCATTCTGAGCATACCTGGAGGTGATTTAAATGCTTGGGAAAATGTAAATTTTGTCTTATTTTTGTTGTTGACTTCAATCAAATTTAATAAAAAAAAAATCATTTACAAAATGGGAATCTTCATGCCCTGTGTACCAGTTTTTTTTTAATATCTTTTTAAGACAACTAAAGAATTCTCTGTCCTTAAATACATGTAGATGATCGATGAAATATTTAATTTTATTTCTTTAATAATTTAATTTAATTTATTAAATATCTTGATCGATTTATTTTTGCGTAACTACGTACATTTGTAAAAAAATGACCCCCCTTTTTTCTCAAAAGACTTGTACACGTATTTCAAAAGCATTGTCATAAAATTGATATCTCCTCTGATTTTCTCTTTTTTGTAAACTGTTCAGTAAGTAGGAAACTAAAATCATTTTGAACTAATGTTATTTATTTGTGGTCGACAATATTCTACTTTCGTTTTTGACCTTCATTCTCTGGACACTACGTGGGGTTTGAAAAGGGAACTACAAAAGGTATTGTTTTCCAGATTCTTAACAACATTATATATTATACGTTCTTTTATTTGACTGATATTATTTCATAACATGCTATTGTCATCTTCTCTGAATTTCTTCGCTTTCTTGAAGCCAAAACCGAACAGGGTATTTGATCGCTTCATATTGTAAATGACCATCGGAACGTCTCTCTTGTTATCCTTGCAAACATAGGATACTTTCCGGACTTTAAATAGACGACCAATCAGTGACCTGAATTAACGTGAACTATATTTAGTCAATGGTAAACACTGATTTTACATCCTTGTTTATCACGACCGCGACTTTGCGACAATACGACTGTCGACACTTGCCTGTATACATTTTAAAAAGATTTTTTTTTCTTTTTGAATTTATATTTTTGTCAGTGAAGTAGCCGGCACTTGGAGCCACAGTAAACAGCGGATTTCCGTCTGTCGAGTACTTTGTTTTCAATTCGCCACCTGGGCTACCACAACTGAATAAAAAGATCGCCCAGGTCAATTTCTGGTTGCCATGGGCAACTGGGCGACCGTTAAGTTTTTTCCCTGTAGACTACAGTACTACCTGTGACTTTATCTTATTAATGGTGGCCATAAAAACTATGTCCACCATGATGGCCCTATATGTCCATCATTATACCCTGTGTTGCTTAATTAATACACAAGGTATTAATCAAAAACTAGTCATGGATAAATAGAAATCAAGACTGCATTGAAGTGTTAAATTTATACAACTTACAGGTCAAGTGTCTCAGGTAAAATATTTGTCAAATTTAATTACTGTGATTATGACAAGAAAATTCAAAAATAAAATGAAATAATAAAACTAGTTGAACATATAGGTAAATAATTTTTTTTTTAAATTGTCTCATGACTGTTTGTGTTGAAGTTATAACACATGTATAACTTTTAAACAATTCTATCAATTTAAGTTATTTTTTACATGTATTTTTTGAAAAGTGAAGAATAAATGAATATTATCTTATATAATGCAAACTTTGACAATGCCTGCCTCTTTCTATTTAAAAAGGGTTTCTCAAATTAATTTTTCTAAAATCAAAATTGTTTATACTTAGAGAGACTGATCTGCATTTTACATTGTTTAACGAATGTTTTAAAAGATTATATTTAGGACATTATTCTAAATAAAATTTAGGCAATTCATTATTTCTCTGTTGAATAAATATATTCAAAATATATTCATTACACCAAAATTTGATGATATTTTTATTGTCATATAAAAATATTATAATTAGTTTTGTGACAAAAAACCCCAAAACAAACATTATAATGCAAAGAAATAACAATTCTAAACACATGGAAAAAAATTATTAGGTTCCTGCCCTCAGTTCTAATGACTATTTTATAAAGGAGCCAATATTTTAAACATGTTCCATGTTTTCTCAATAATAATAATATCATTGTTTAGAAGTTTAGCCATGTTAGCATTTCTTATACTTTCTGTTCTTGGGTAACATGGATAAGAGACATTATTATGAGAATGTAAACAATTTTCAAATAGATTATTTCTTAGTTGTTTTGTTAATTTTACAATCTAGGAGGAAGTGTTCTTCATCGTCCAACTAATGGCACAGTTTACATATTCTATCCTCTCTAGGAATTTTATATTATCCATTGTTTCTATTTCTTAATTATGACCACTAATTCTTTACCACATTTAAGCATTTGAGTTGACAGTTAAGTTTTCATCATAAGTTTTTATTCTATTTTCAAAAATATATTTATATTTTTTCTGTAAATTCATTTTTAATCAAGGGCTTTAAAGATACTAATTCATTCAAGTCCCTACTTTATTATTAACTTTATCTAAAAGGCCTGGGTTGAGTGAAATATTCTTGGCAAATGTATACCAAGAATATGTATTATGCCAGTCCAGCAGTTTCGAGAATATAATACACAGAACAAAAAATGATTTAATTCATAGATCATAAAAATGTCACAATCTATAGAAGTGTACTTTATATTTTCTGGAGACAAATTCTTTTCATAAGATTCACTTTATTCTGAGAGATAAGAACATTTTATTTTGTTAAGTAAACAGACTTGTTAAATTACTGGCTTCATGGTTCCTTTAAACATGTCATTTGATAATTATTGTGATTATAAGTTAAAATTAATAATAATTCATTTCATAATTAAAATGAACAATTGAATACAATGAACATCATGTACAATAACTTTTTTATTTCTTAAAAAATTATTATTTAAAGGATTTTCTGTTTTGTTTTCAAATGCTAGTCAATAACTTATCTTTGATTTTATTTTCCATTTTTAGGCAGTTAAGCTGCCTTATGCTAGCACCCTAGATTTGTGTTCTTCCCAACGAATGCTGAAAAAAGTGCCATTGTTATAATCCAGAAGGCTAATATGTTATTTATAACTAATTGGACATTTTTTTCATACTTTTAATTCTGGAATACAAAAAATATGACCAGAATAACCTTAAATGATCGTCGAACGACCCATAATGTTTGAAGTTGCACATAGGAAATAGTGCTCAATACAAATCCGTACGTAGTTTATTATCCCCTGTGCTTTTGGCTAGGATGTCAAAGAACAATTGTATGAAATATTTCATCGCCGAAAATCCGTAATTACAAATTGTTTATATTTCCCAAATGGCAAAATGCGCAGGAATATTGTTCATGTACAACAAATCTCTTTGATAGAGGAAATAAAGTGATATATCTTAGTTGGCAGTAATTTTAACTTATCATGCCAAATAAGGTTGTTTTTTTATGAATGAAACGAGGTCATGGAACAGATCCGGAAATCGACGTTGATGGGATGTTTTAAGCAATGTGGACAACTCATCCCCGAGACAAGTCGGACCGAATCCACTCGAACCGTCTAAAAAGACAACTCGGACGGCTTGTCAGATTTTCTTAGGGTTTCATAAAATGTTAGACTAACTTGTATAGCGGAGCCATAAGCTTTTGTTTGTGCATTGGGGTCTATTTAGGGGTGTTTTGAGGGGCCTAAAGAAGGGATGGGTTTAATGAAGAACCCCATAGGATTTTATTTTTTTAAATTTTCAAATGACTATTTTTCCAAAACAGTAAGTGATAGATACACGCAGTCTTCAGTAATAAGAACAGGACAATAAAACAAATCAAATAAAATATAGGATGAGTCCCTGGGGGTCGTCCCAACACCCTTCAATTTGAAAATGTGCTTTTATCTTGTAAACGGTCGTGATCCCCACCCCTAAACCACATTTATACTTGTATGGGACAATATAACAAATAAAATGAAATACATGGGGATTCCTTGGGGTCACCCCACCCCCTCCTTTTTTAAGAACTTGGAAATGGTCGAGATCTCCACCCCTAAACCATATGTATTCATGTATA